AAGTACAACGCTTGGTAGTACAAGACGCTCTTAACGCTATCTATAGATCAGTCAGTAATTGCACACAAAAATACTAAACAAAACAAGTTTAATATCTTAAGGCAAAATTAAGAGAGCGTTACCTGCCATTGTTATTAAGGACAATGGTAAACGTAAATTTTCGCAAAATCTTAATTTCGATTTCAAACTAAAGTATAAAAAAAAAAATCATGTAATGAATTTGTTTTAATTCCATCAACTGTACGACAATATTACAGGAACAAAATAGGACACTTGTTGTTTAGTATCGGTTTAAAAATTGCATTTTTTTACATTGAAATAATTAATTAACTGAAATTAATTTTAAAATTGTGCCACGACCGATGCCTTGAAAATGTTGTGAAGAATTCAAATGTTTTTTAAAAATTTAAATCGAAGTATTTTTAAGGACAGTATGTTTGAAGTAGAATGATGTATTAAAGTGAAATTTCAATTTCAAATTTTGTGGTTTCAAACAGTTTATTGACTTGTGCCTGCGAGTGCGTGACATTCCTTATCGACCGCTATCGTCGTCGTCGCATGGCACCCGCAAATTGCAGATAAGGATATTATTTTTAGATATTTTGTCATGTTCGGTGTATAACAAAATACTATTAAAACGAGAATCATTGGCAGGGCATTGCAATTTATACTGAATTGTAAAAATGATCGTTTTTCTACAATTAAGACTAGCGTTGTTGATGTTATCCATCGTCAGGTCGTCTTATAATGAATAATAAGTCTACTAGGAAGTATTAACCTAAGTATAGAAAACCCTTATCTCGCAGGATAAAGAATAAAGGGAATTTAAATTCGCTGAATAAAAAAAACTGTCCAGAGAGAAGTTAGATCATGCTCCGTGAGTTACATAATATTATGTCTTGATGATTAAAACGAATCCTTATGTATTATATTTTTAAGAACGGCATATTTTACCAAAAAAACAATTTTTCGAAGCTATTGTAGCTTCGATGCGTAGTTGAGAAGGTATTGTGTTTACAATGATGTGTTTTTATTTGTATTTATTTTTGTTTTTTGTGTCTGGACGTATCTACTATGCCGTTAACCGATTTCTTCATGTACTTACTTTATATATTAGAAATCTAATCTAAAAGTTAGTTTCTTGGGGCAAAATTTTTGAAAGTTCACCTCTTCCCCTTCAAAATTGGGAAAACGCATAAAAATGTACATATTACATATTTATTATAACTTTTTTTAAAAATAGTCGATTTTGTTCCGAATTTCTATGGAATATTCTTCGGATAAAGTACTATACAACGTAAACGGAAAAACGTTGACAAACCAAAAAAATATCTTTATATATTAAAATTGTATTAATTTGTTATTATAGTTATAATTAAAATCTTCATCAATAACTGCTAGTCTGTTGTGTTATTATATTTGTCAAAAGTAAGTAAGTAAACTCGTAATTTTTAATGTCTAGTAATAATCGTTATCTTCGTGCTTCTGTTTGTCAGTGTATAAACTCCTACAGAAATAATATAAATGCGACCCCAGATACAATTAAAGTAATATCATTTACCTGTCCGCGCGTTAGGCGATCAAATTTTAGATAGTATGCAATCAATAATAGTAAGTTATTATCTTGTTATCGCACTTTCGCGGTCGCGACTCCGTATACGGAGATTATGATGTATATATATTATATACATAAAATTGCTCACCAACACTAATGTTCATTTACGAGTAAACAGTTACTAACACAGTGACAAAATGTTTTTTTGAAATTGCCTATACAATACTCCTTAATAAATGCTGGTGTAGAGGCCCCTTAAAAAAAAAAACTAAATTTCTTATTAAACCCTGTGAGATATTGAGTGGTTCATGATAAAATTATCACACTATATGTATAAAAACATTTTTTTTTAAATTTCGGGTTTAAAATAACCCGTTATTTTCTTCAAAAAACCCGCCTTGCGCGGATTAATTTTACAAAGGTTGTAAAGACTGTAATCAAAACTAAGAAACCAAATTTTCACATAATATAGACAACAACATTGTCTGTGTTCTACCATCTCCCTTATTTTTAAATGACTGTCAAGGATGCTGTGATAAATAATTTAACTACTAACAAAGAGTCCTAACTACTGAACTCATAGTTACACATCACAGTTTTTTAACCTTTAGGTTAAGAATTTGTAAAAAATTGCCTATACTTTACTCCTTAAAAATGGGCGGTGTGGCGTCCTTTTAAATACTTTTACTATTATTACATTAGGTGGATAAATTATTTAAAATGTACTTCATTTGTAAATTAAAAAAACAAATGGTATTAATTGAATTTTAATATCTTATTATTCAGATCTTTCATTTCACTTTGGCTATTTCAAGTTTTTTAATAATAAAATCATATAGTTATTTATAACTACTAATGAAAATAAATACATTAATACGGATTCCTTTTTTTTAGGGACAAAGAACTTTGTGATGTAACCTTAGTTACCAATGAAAGCTTAAAAATAGAAGCACACAGAAATATATTGGCCTCTGCGAGTCATGTATTTTATACAATGTTCATTGGAAAGTTTAGAGAAAGAGTCGAAAATGAGATTCTTATAAAAGAAATAGATTCTGGAATTTTAGAATTGGTGGTCAAATTTGCGTATACTTTTAAACTGGATATCAAAGAAAACAATTGTGTGGTAGAAAATATGCAATAGTATTTACAATTTATAAAATATTTTTTAATTATTTGTTGTTACATTTTTTAGAAACTGTTGATAGCTGCTGATATGTATGGTTTAAAATATATACAAGAATTATGTTTTGAATATATTAGAGAAAACATAAATTACACAAATCTTGTTAGTTTTATGAAAACTTCTGAATTAATATCAGACGAAAAGATTTACAATTTTTGTTTGTCATATTTTTTAACCCACTTCATGTGAGTAATCGGTTGCAACATATGATCGCAAATTTTTTTTTAAATAATCAAATAATAAAACAGATTTTTTTTAGTATAATTGTGAAATTGGATCAAGCGTTAGAAACACTTTATGACTTTGAGTTTGATGATGTTGTCGAGTTTATTGCGCATGATAATTTAGTAATTGATTCTGAGGAAAAGGTATAATTATTGTACCTTATAAAGAAATAAAAAAAAAATGACTTATTTTTATGTTTGTTCTTTTGCAATTATTTAATAATAATTTTTGAGTTTATTTTAGGTATTTGATTTTATCATAGGTTGGATACGCTATAACATAGATGAACGTAATGACTTGTTATCGGTTCTTATGAAATATTTACGTTTGCCTTTAATTTCAAAAAAAGGACTACAAAGGATTTATGATGAACCATTAGTGAGAAATAATAATGATGGTATGTATATATGTTGTTGATATTCTAATCACAAGGCTGCATTTAATCTAAATTATTGCCCTTTACTTGTACATACAATAGCACCTTTAGGTGATATATAACCATTGAACCGACCACAAAGAGCATTTGGTGTTTGTACTTACAAACAGTATGGACCGAAATTACTGAACCAATGCCCACTGCTCGCTCCGAATGTAGTGCTGCAGTATTTAATAACAAATTATATGTTGTAAGTAAACACAATTTAACTCTAAATGCCATGCCTAACTACTAAACAAGTTTATAATGATATGTTATTATTTGTAATACAAAAATAATTGTAAAATATTCATTCAACTAGCTTTTATTGTTTGTAATCGTTTTAATGTAGTTTTATTGTTTTGTGTAGTTTGGTGGACTTAGTGGGCGTAATCATAGTTCTCTTGCATCTGTAGAACACTATGATTTTGAACATAAACACTGGGAACAACTCGATCCTATGCCGATATGTAATTATGGCATGGGCATATCGAGAAAAGACAGAGTCATTTATCTCATTGGTGGTTTTAACGCTCCTCGACGAGTTTTTAAATTCGACTTGCAACATTTCAAATGGGATGAAATACCTAAAATGATGAACATGGAATGTGATGAAGATTGCTCAGGTCTGTATGTATTTCATCGAGTATACAATTCATTTTTTTACTCATAAATATTATAAAATGCAGGTGTTGGTGTCATGAAAAACGACTTATTCGTGTTTGCAAATAATGGAGGAAGACTTCATTATGAAAGATATGACAGAGGAAAAAATCAATGGCAATTGTTTAACAGGGTACGAACGTCATCATCTCCAACAAGTCATATCATTACATTTAATGATATTTTTCTTAAATCCTGTGGTATTCAATTATAGTACTATTTTTTTTAAATAATATCTTTTTGTGAACTCAATTTAAATTGTCTTAAAATCATTTGCACATTTTGTGGTTGATGATTCATTTACCATGATAATAATCGGGAGCATAAAGTTATCATAATATAGGTAATGTTATTGTAAGTTAAAAGATTAAAAATTTTTGTGTAAACATTTGTTACTGAAAAATTTGGTAATAAGCTATTAACCATTGATTTAACTTAAGTTGAATTTTTTTTTAAGTAACTTTACTTGCTCGAGTTAATTTTTTATAATTTAAGAATGTAGCTAGTGCAACTTTAACTAGATAAAAACAAGTATCTTTGCCCAATTGTGCCTAAAAATAAATAGGCAGAAAGCGAGGAAAGAAATGTTTAAATGTTATAACTTAATTAAAAAATTTTAATGTTTTGTCGGTTACTTAAAACCTTTCTTCTATAATAGCTCACGCTTTTTCGATACATCGTCATTTTTCTATTAAATTTAAATTAAGCTCTTATTTAGAAAACTATATTATCAAATACTACTTGATAGCTAATTTAACTTCAAAAATAAGAAGGGACAATTACATTTTAACTTTAATAATATGTTTTTAAAAGTTCAAACAAGGTAGTATGCAAAACGTAAAGTATTAAATAGCTAAATTTAATAAATACTTTCATCGTGCTAAATGCACCAGTATGTCTCTTAAGTGACAAAAAATACAGTATTAAGAGTAAAATAAATAAACATGCGCATCATGTAACGGAAAGCCAGTTTATTGATTAATTTTAAGTACAACAAATTAAGTTTATACATATTGCACATGATATCTGGTTGGTCTATGGCATTTTTGAGATGGAGAAATACGAGTTGAATTAACAGCTCTGGAACAAAAAAGTAACATTCATTAGTTAATAATGAATCAATTGAATACAAGTGAAATAACTTTAAATATCTAAATTATCCATGTTAAATATTACATAAGACAATAGATTCAATATTGATGGACTTCCAGAGATTTAAAGACTATAGTGTATTGTGTTATTTTAAATACGATGGGGTTCAACAAAAATAGATTGTGATAGCTTTAGCCTTTAATAGTAAAAAAGACACACATACATAATATTGTTGAACGATAACTTGATTACTAAATATTGTAAGTAGATAAAAAAAAACACAATTTTATGTTGAACCCCATTGTTTCTCCAAACAACTGTAAGTGGTTCATATACACTATACAGCTATATTTTCCCATTGAATTAACTTTTAAAAATCAATTTTTCATTGAAATAGCCATAATACCATAACTTATAAATATTTTTAAAATTAAAAGAAAAGACTCTGAAAGCTGAAACTTTTACTTTAAAAATGCTCTTCTAGAAATTTGAATTTATTGATACAAAAAACTTGATTAAATTAGAAAAAATAGTTTAAAAATATGTATAAGTATATTTTCATTCATCGTTTATAGTAGACAAATTCATTGGAACTAATCGGAGTTAAACTACCAATTCACATATTGCATATTGCATAGGTATTTAAGAGGTACAATAGGTGTCAGCTTTAAGAATCTTTTTTTAAATTCAAAAAATGATAGTTTTGAAGTTATGAAGATTTTGATTTAAAAAAAACGCGTAAATTAAAGGGGAAAATATGGCTCTAAAGAAACCACTCTGAGTTGTCCTAGAAGGCTGATATTTTAAACTTAGGAAGTTTTAAGTTTAGAAATTAAATAGAATTTAAAAAATACTAAAATTATAAACTTAAGTGTACTCAAATAATAAAACAAACTGATGATCATGGCCATAAGTAATTTTTAAAAGGAATATTGTGGTTAATAGTTTAAAAGATATAGGTGTATCTAAATAAAGGTGATATAAGATTACAAAATCAGCTTAATTTTACACTTACCATATTGTATTGAGAAACTTGGGGTTGGGCCTTGGTGACGGTTTTGGCTGATTTGGCGGATTGCACTTGTCCGACCACAACAATGTTCATGGATACCTTTTCTGCGCCCATTTTTGATTTTGGTTCGTGGAGAACTTTGAGAATAAATACTAGAAATCAGAACATAAATTACATAGCAGTTTAATTTTCAAATCCAATACATGTCGTAAATAATACCAATAAAAAAAATTGTAATACAAAAAATATTATTTCAAACTCACCAGTAATAGTTAGAAAACAAAAAAATTGTATTATGCTTGAACTAAGGAGTCTACACACTATTTATATGCTTTAGATATCGCGTGAATGAAGTGGCGTGATGTGTTCTGGCCATAATAACCATATCCAATGATCACATTCTGATAAAATGGTCTCATCTGTATTTGAAAAAAAATGCAGAAATTTATCCTACAAAAAATGGTTACGTTATCAATAACTTAAGAGTGTAGGTACTAGAGCTGGGACCTCGAATCGAATTTTTCTATTCGAATTATTCGAATAGTAATCAAATAATTCGAATTTTCGCATGAAAAAACTAAAAAGAACTTCTTAATCTAAGTGGTAATATTTATTTTGTCAAATTTATGTTGTTTTGTAATTATATATCTATATAAATTGTTAAAATCTTATTTGTTGTAATAAGTAATAATATTTATTATGTCAAAAGAATAATTCGTTATAATTATATTAATTTTGTTAAAAAATTATTAAAAATAGATCAAGGACACCTCAGTTGTCTCTTAATTATTTTTTTTAATCTAATTAATCCTGCAAAGAAAATGATAAAATATTTGAATATTCGTGCGAATAAAGTATTCGAATATTCGAATAGTCCCACCACTAGTAGGTACATCCACACAAATGATATAGTTATTTACTACAGATTAATTTTACTTTCTAAAATTTAACACATTATATTTTAAAGGTTCAGAGCAATCATATAATATTTATTATAATTTTAGCTCTTCTTATTCAAAATTTATGATTTATGAAATACACAGAATATTTTTTTCAAATTGAGACCTCTTCCACCCAGCAGGAGGAGAAAACCCCCATTCAGGGGGTAGCAGTATGCAAAATGAAAAAAAAAAACCATTTTGACACACCCTAGTATACATATTATACTTAAAAATAAAACTAAGAAAGGTGTAGAGGCCCCTAAAATGATTCACAACCGGTAACCTGTAACAATCTTATCTATTTAAACCGGTGTTATCATAAACAAACAATTGATATGATGAGAAAATAAAATAAACACTGAAGTACGAGAATTATAAAAAAGTTACTCCTTTTTATGTGTCATTTGCTATATTAACGTTTGCTGAATTAAGTTGGGCGTTTTTAAGACAAGTAAAAATCTGAAAACATAAATAAGTAAGTCGCTATTTAATTGTTCTAATTTCTAACTTAGTAATATGTATTTACATCATTTGACTTTTGCGTCCCCGATTTTACCGATTTATTTTACTCCAAATTGTCCACCAAAACAATATAAAATTAAATTTACATTAAACAAGTATTGAAAAGTCTTTTTATCTGTTTTTAAACTATAGTCGGATCACTTGTTTATGAGTACAGTTTTCTTTTCGTAGAATGAAAATAATCGTTTAATGTAAAATAAATAAGATGAATTTTTATAATATTTACACATAAACATTTTAAACTTAGATAAAAGTTGATAACGTTTTAAAAACTCAAGTTATTTAACTAGTATTTAACTAAGTGTAAAAAAACTATTAATCAAAGATCCAAAAGTCATCTTGTATTGTGTTAAACTTGACTTGAAACTGATATATTATGTTTTAGGAAAGACTAATATTACAATCACTAAACAAACTACTTTACATAGAAAAAGTACATTTATAAAATAACACAAGTACAACAACTATGGATGTTAACATGCAAGAATATTTCAAAAACTTTTATCTATTCTTAAAGTAAGGCATAAGTGAGCTGTTATTATTTAATATGCTACGCACAATTATTATTATCGATTAATGTTTTTATTTTAATGCGCATTTTCAAGTAGCGTACCCGGTCTCCGTGGTGTATGTACTTTCTTAATTATTGTTCACATATATTATTTAAACTGTTGCGGAAAATTACAACAATTTCCTGTTAAATATTAGAAAACCAATATTATAATAAAAATAATAATTGTACCAGTACAGTGGAGTTGAACACTAATGAAAATAAATACATTAATATGGATACATTTTTCTAGGGAAAAAGAATTTTGTGATGTAAATTTAGTTACCGATGAAGGCTTACAAATAGCAGCACACAAAATTATATTAGCTTCTGCGAGTTGTGTATTTTATACGATGTTCAATGGACAGTTTAGAGAGAGAAATAAAAATAAGATTCTTATAAAAGGCATGGATTTTGAAACTTTAGAATCAATTGTTAATTTTGCGTACACGTTTAAACTTGATGTTAAACAAAATAATTTTGAGGTAAAAAATACATAGTAGGATTTACAATTTATAAAATATATTATTATAACTCTATTGTTAATTAACTAATATTATTATTTTTTTTAGAAACTATTGATGGCTGCCGAAATGTATGATATAAGTGGTATAAGAGAATTGTGTTTCAAATATATTAAAAAAAACATAAATCCTACAAATTGTGTTAGTATTATGAAGATTACCGAGTTAATACAATTGAACAAAGAAATTAATAGTTTTTGTTGGGCGTATTTTTTAAATAATTTCACGTGAGTTATCTGGTTTGACGTAAGATTGTAAATATTTTTAAAATAATAAAACATTACATTTTAATAGTATGATTGTGAATTCGGCTTTAGAAGCGGAACTATATGGGTTTCCAATTGAAGATGTCCTTAAAATGATTAAACATGATGATTTAGTAATTGATTCTGAGGAAAAGGTTGTTATTCTAGATAAACATTAAAAATATTGTCGAATTTTGCATAACCCTTAACTTGGTAAGGGCTTACTTTTAAAAATCAAAAATAATAAAATGATGCTAGTAATTTTTAGATTGGATGTGGAAAGTTATGAAATTTATGTATTTTTAATGATACAATGCCAAGTTAAGGAATGATTTTTGTAACTTTTTTTTAGAAAAATGGTTTATTATAATATAAACCATAAATATATTATTATAATATATAATGTATATTGATAATATAAACACTTGTTTTAGGTATTTGATTTCATCATTGGTTGGATAAGCTATAACACAAATGAACGAAAGCATATGTTTTTGGATCTAATGAAATGCATACGGTTGCCTTTAATTTCAATTAAAGGACTTAAACGGATTTGTAATGAACCATTGTTATCAAATAACAAAGATTGTAAGTATACAATGATATTTCAATCGGGGTTTACATTCGCTCCACATTATTGTTTTATATTTGTCAATTCAATAGCCTACCATTTAAATATATATTATTGTTGTGTCTTAAAAAAAAATACTCACAGTTTTTTTTTTTTAATGTTATTTATATTTAGTTATGATGGACATGTTAAAAGAAATGAACAATACAAAACCTCTAAATACACAACGAAGAATTCCTGCGTCAAATGTATGTAGACATAATATTAAAACTATATATTTACATGTTATAGGTACACTATTGTATTAGTTCTGTGCTTGTGTCACCTGACAATTTGTACATATTTGTATTTAGATTATTGTTGCAATTAATGGTCCTATCCCTGGAGAAGATTCCTGTGTGAAGTATATGGATATTAAAAACTGTGATGACTTAAAATGGAAATCGAGCGATCAATTATTTTTTATCCCTCTCCGTTTTCTAACAACGATGGTACTCTCGGAAAATGGGATAATACTTGCCGTTGGCGGGTTAGATGAGTCTGGTAATCATGTCAATCTTGTAGAAGAGCTTGATCTTAAGTCAAAATCAAAACAATGGATTTCTACGAGGCCATTGATTCAACCACGAAAAGATTTTAGTGTTTGTACTCACAAGCAATACGTCTATGTTGTACGTATTCATTTTATCGTAGTTTATATAACGAAAACACATTGATTACAAGATATATATTTTTTTTTTTTTTGTATGATATAGGTCGGAGGCACTGATTTCTCAAGTGTGAATCTGTCGAGCTCTGTAGAATATTATGATATAAATTCAAAAGTATGGACCGAAATTATTGAACCAATGCCCACTGCTCGAGCCTACAGCGGCTCCACAATTTTTCATAATAAATTATATGTTGTAAGTAAACACATTTTTACCATAAAAACCATGCATAACTACTACATAAATTTCTACTTATATTTTATTAATTTGTATAACAAACTAATAATTATAAAATATTCATTTTGCTAAGTTATTATGGTTCATAAAAATGTAATCAAGTATTATTGTTTTATGTAGTTTGGTGGATATTATGGTGATTTTCTTGCGACTGTAGAATATTATGATTTTGAAAAGAAACACTGGAAACAACTCGATCCTATGCCGATTTGTAATTATAACATTTGTATATCACGAATAGAAAACGTCATTTATCTCGTTGGTGGTCGTAGAGCACCTAAACGAGTTTTTAAGTTTGATTTACAACATTATAAATGGTTTGAAATGCCTAACATGAACATGGACACATTTGGAGATTGCTCGAGTCTGTATATATTTATTCAAGTAGGTATGTTATACATTATTTTACTCATAATTATTTTTAAATGCAGGTGTTGTTATCATGAAAAACGACTTATTCGTGTTTATGAACGATGGAGGAACAGTTCATTGTGAAAGATATGACAAAGAAGAAAGACAATGGAAATCGGTAGACAGTGCAGGAAAGCAAACATACAAATTTTGTAATATGATTACTTTTAATGATATTGCTCTTAAATCCTACGGTATATACTTATAATACTATTTTTTTATATTATTTTGTTGTTGATGATACTTTGGGAGAACTTCATTGTGTAAAAATATGGCATATAGTTGACAGGGCTGGAGAGCTATCGAATGATTTTTGTTAAAATATTATGGCTTGTAATGATGTCACATAAGATGGTATTCATATAAAATATGATTTTTTTATTAATAAAATCTCATGAGTAAAAAATCTCATGTTCTAAAATTACTTATTCATTTTTTTGGCCTTTAATTCTGATTGCAAACTATACTGTTCCGTACTTACGGCATAAAGTAGTTAGGTGATACGAAAGTTATTTTTAATTATGATAGTAACACAATCAGAACAATCATTAAAAAACTTCATGAGTCTTTTCCCTTTTGCAAACCATGCCTTAAATTAATCATATATAGGTAATGTAAGAACCACAGACTAAATAAACGTCAAAAATGTATTCATTCGTGGTAAGGTTATACGTCAATGTACTACATAGTCCATTTTGGTAGAAAATCTTTTATAGTTTATACAAAATTACATAATATCATGCATAAAAAACACTGATTAAACGCAATTAATCAGATCACCAAATTAATGTCGAACGTCGTAGGACCACCGACTACGTCATCTTCGGCAAAGGAATCGTCCGTAGACTCCCAACATCATCTACCATCAGTGACCAGTATGGCGGTACTTGTATTTTTAATTCAAACGGTGCCAATCAAATGTTGACACCTAAAATGAATAACATAATAAGGAAACTATAATTAAGTTGATAAATGTCCAAATCGTTAACTTGCAGCCACCTACAGAAATAAAAAAACCAACTCAAATCACCGAAACGTAAAATATATAAAATTGTTAAGCAGTTATTAAGCGTCTTTCTCTCTTTCCTCGAATAAATTTAAAAATGTATCATAGTACTTAATTACATTGTATAAAAAATATAAGAAAAAAGATCAGTCAAGGAAAGTCCATTAAAAGGGATACACATTTCTCCTTTATATCACTTCTTCAAGAAAAGTAGATCTAGAATGGAACTAAAACATTACAATTTTCTCAAAATTCTGTGGTCAAACCTTTCCTTTATTAAGGAAAACAAAAAAAATTACGCTTTGGCCGTTGATAATTTTCAGGTTTCCAATTTAAAAACCTAATTGTTATTAGATGCAATGTTTTTATCAATATTTTAATTTTTATCTGTGAACACCGGATTTTCCTTACTTACTACTACTACTACTTCTACTACTGACTACTACTAATCACTTACTTATAATTCTTTCTTATTGTGCTGGTATATACTGTGCTTGGTTTGGATTTACTGTTCACCGATGCGCATCAAAGCGTTTATTTAAAAGTGATTTTATCACTTTCAGTTATAATAATTCCTGTAGATCTATGACCTCCCCACTGTACTGGCTTACTTTAGCACCTTTTTTTTTGTTGTAATTATATTAAATATTAATTTTACAAGTGTGGGGCCTGTAATGTATTTTAACACAATCGGCGAAAGGTGTTTCCAAAACGTATAAAGACTTAGGTAAACGCATTTATACATTTTATAGGGTGTCGAATGTCGATGAAGGTAAACTTACAACAAGCTTTGAAACCTAAGTTGGGAATTTGATCTGTTTCCCTCCTACAACGCGCGACAGTTTGCCTCCACGCTGCGGTGTACCTCGCCCATGGTTATAACCGTGGTCATGGTTATAACCGCTACCACGCCTGTGGCAATTACTAGTTATCTCACAAACACACACTATCACAAATCTGTCTATACAATTTCTGTGTAAACAAACCTACAAATTTTGTTGTTGTTAATAATTGAGATTTCGTTTTGTACACTCTAAATTTCTGTAAATTATTACTAGTTAATGTAGATTTAGCGCCATAGAAACAATTTGTTTTCATTGTTGTTGCTACAGGTCCGGCTCGTGAGAATCTTGAATTTTATGATAAATATTGCGTAGTGTTTCGTTATTTCGTTTCAATTTGCGATACAATTTCATAATTTTTAATTTCATACAAGATTTTTTTTCTCGTTAACAATTTGAGGTACAGTTTTATTTAAAATCAGGCAATTTGTTGTATTTGATTGTAAACTTTTTATTTTACCTTGTCTTTTTAATAGAAAATTAATTGTATTTTGTATCTTATAAATGTTTTAGGTAAGCTAATTTTACAATTAGTTAACAACCAGACATAGAAAAAGTATATCTATAATCTTTATACAAGCAAAACAATTATGGAAGTTAGTATGCAAAAACACTTCGAAAGAATGTATCAATTCTATAAGTAAGTCATTAATTGATTAGTTTTGTACAAGTATTATTTATTACCGTTTAACGTTTGTATTTTAATTGTGGCCTTTTATTTAATATAGCTAAGTCCTGGGGTATAGGTATGCACTTTTTACTTTAAAATTTACAGGGTGATAATTTTATCGTGAACCACTCAATATCAGAATCAGTATTAAAACGAAACCAATATCACAAACTTATACCCGATAAAACCATTATTACATATTACCTACCATTGATTATTTGTTTGGTATCAGTCCAAATATCAGTTTCCAAAAAAAAAAAAACAATATTAATAAAACGGATACTACTAATATCGTCTGATATCTAGTATCAGTTCTAGTATTGACACACCCCTAGTTTTTATACAATGTGATCTCAATTTTTCCATAATTTTTAAACTTTTTATTTTTGATACTAAAATAGTAACTCATTAAATTCATTAACTTTTTAAACTAAGAATAACGTAATTAAGATTTTTACTGGTTAATAACCTGTTTTCAAATTATAAGAGTTTAAAAGTTAGGACAGGAAGGGAAGTGCACGCAGATTAAAATAATACTATACTCCACCTTTCTTCCTGCCCTAAACTTTTAAACTCAGACAACTTCAACAATAATTAATCCAAAACTGGTTATCGACCAGTCAAAAATTTAAGTACATTATTCTTAATTTAAAATGTTAATGAAATGTATGCATTACCCTTTAAGTTTGAAAACTGTTATCAAATAAAGTAAGTTTGGAGGGGGGTAAAATTATGGAAAATAATATTGAATTTCTTATTATACCCTATGAGATATTGAGTGGTTCACGATTAAATGATCACCTTAATATATAAATATATAAAACTTTTTGGGGTAAATACTTTTGCTATTATTACAACATTAGGTGAAACAATAATTAAAAATGTACTTTATTTGTAAAAAAAATAAAAACAAATAATGTTACTGAATTTTAAAATCTTATAAATTCAAATCCCTCATTTAAAAATGATGTATAATTTTTTTTACATATTCAAAATATCAAAACGTATACTTTGGCTATTTCAAGGGGCTTTGTCTAATTAAATTTTGTTTGTTTTTGGTTTACACTACAAAAAAAAGAAAAACAAAGTTTTTTAAACACTATTATCGATATTTATTTAATTCTCATAATTCTCAATATTTTTTTTTTTTTTTTGAGAAACATTATTAAAAAGGTTTTTATTCCACATTTATGTATACTTATTGTATATTTAATATTGCTTTTCAGAAAACGTTTTACTCAAATATGAATCGTGTAGCCATTTATAAATACTAATGCAAATAAATAAATTAATACTGATTTATTTTTATAGGCACAAAGAATTTTGTGATGTAACTTTGGTTACAGATGAAGGCTTAAAAATTGAAGCACACAGAAATGTATTGGCTTCTGCGAGTCATGTGTTTTATAAGATGTTAAGTGGGCATTTTAAAGAGAAAAACGAAAATGAGATTCTTATAAAAGAAATAGATTCTACAATTTTAGAATTGGTGGTCGAATTTGCATATACTTATAAACTGGATGTTAAAGAAAACAATTGCGAGGTAGAAAACACGCAATAGGATGTACAGTTTATAAAATATATTGTTATAATTCTATTGTTATTTACCTAATAATATTATTTTTTTTTAGAAACTATTGATGGCTGCCGAAATGTATGATGTAAGTGGTATAAGAAAATTGTGTTGCAAATATATTAAAAAAAACATAAATCCTACAAATTGTGTGCGTTTTATGAAAAAGTCCAAATTAATATCAGACAAAAATATTTACAATTTTTGTTGGTCATATTTTTTGAAATATTTCTTGTGAGTAATCAGGTGCGACAAATGATCGCAACATTTTTTTAAATAATCAAATAATAAAAATATTTTTTTTAGTATAATTGTGACATTGGATCAAGCGTTAGAAACACTTTATGACTTTGAGTTTGATGATGTTGTCGAGTTTATTGCACGCGATGATTTAGTAATTGATTCTGAGGAAAAGGTATAATTATTGTAACTGAAAAAGGAATAAAAAAATTACTTATTTGAATGTTGGTCCAATTACAATTATTCAATATTAAGTTAAGATTTTTTTTTTTTTATAGATATTTGATTTTATTGTTGATTGGATACGATATAACACAGATGAACGTAATGGCTTTTTACCGAATTTTATGAAATATTTACGTTTACCTTCAATTTCAAAAAAAGGACTACAAAGGATTTATAATCATCCATTAGTGGGAAATAATACCAATGGTACGTATATACTGTTGATATTTCAATCGAGGGTGCATTCAATCTAAATTGTTGCCCTTTACTTGTACATACAATAGCGCCTATAGGTGATATATATTATTGAGGTGTCTTTTAAATAAACATTATTATTGTTATGCTTTATTAGTTATGAGAGGAATATTAGACAATATCACCAAAACTTACATCAAATCAAAACCACCAGTTACTCTTGGAAGATGTACTCAAGAATCATCAAATGTATGTAGATATTTTAAAACTAAATTTTTACACGGTACAGGTACAAAGTGTACTAGTTTTGTGCTTATATCACCTGACATTTGTATATATGTGTATTCAGATTATTTTTGCAATTAATGGTGATTTAACCAGTGGCGGTTCCTCTGTGAAGTATATGGATATTAGAAACGATAATGACTTAAGATGGAAATCAAGCGAGCATTTATTTTTTTTGCCTCCCCGTAAAGATACAACGATGGTAGTCTCTGAAAATGGGATAATACTTGCCATTGGTGGTTTAAACGAGTCTGGTAGATTGACCAATCTTGTAGACGAGCTTGATCTTAAGTCAGAATCAAAACAATGGGTTTCTACAAGGCCATTGAACCGACCACGAAGATCATTTGGTGTTTGTACTTACAAACAGTACATATATGTCGTAAGTATTAATTTGATTGTAGTTAACACAACAAATACACATTGTATACAAGAAAATATATATATTTTATTCGTATGATATAGGTGGGAGGCTGTGATTACTCAAATTGGAAAAGTTCGAATTCTGTAGAATACTATAATACAAATTCAAAAGTATGGACCGAAATTACTGAACCAATGCCCACTGCTCGCTCCGAGTGTAGTGCTGCAGTATTTAATAATAAATTATATGTTGTAAGTAAACACAGTTTAACCATAAATACCATGCCCAACTATTAGACAAGTTTCTACTCATATTTTATTAATTTGTATAAGAAAAAAATTGTAAAATATTCTTTTAACAAGCTATTATGGTTTGTAAGCATTTTAATCAAGTTTTATGGTTTTGTGTAGTTTGGTGGACGTAATGAACAAAGTAGTTCTAATCGTGGTTCTCTTGCAACTGTAGTATGCTATGACATTGAAAATAAACACTGGAAACAACTTAAACCAATGCCCAAGTGTAATTTGGGTATGAGTTTATCAAGAATAGATAACGTCATTTATCTCATTGGTGGTAGTGCTGATGAATCATGTGTACAACGAGTTATGAAGTTTGACTTACAAAATTTCAAATTTGATGAAATGCCTAACATGACCATGGATTGTAAATTGGGTTGCGCAAGTCTGTATTTATTTAATTAAGTACAAATTACATTTTTTTTATTAATTAACATTATAAAACGCAGGTGTTGTTATCTTGAAAAACGACTTATACGTGTTTGTGAATAATGGACGAGAACTTCATTGTGAAAGATTTGACAAAGAAAAAAATCAATGGCTATTGGTTGACTCATCAGAAAACTTATTATACTCAATATATCAACCTATCATTACTTTTAATAATGTTACACTGAATTATTGTTATGGTATTCACCTATAATACTATGTTTTTGTGTTAATACCATTTTGTGTACTCAATTTAGTCTTAAAAATATTAAATGACTTAAATTGTTTTAAAATGTACACAATTTGTTGTTGATGATTTATTTGTATTTGAATTCAAATCTGTTTAAGATTCCTTATAGCATTAGTTGATCGATTGTTACTGCGAACGACAGTAGTTACGTTTAAACTGCTATGTCGGTCATGAGTTTGACAGAGACAGGAATAATCGGTACCCAATTAGCAATTAATATCAATATCCACCATCAGATAATATCGTTATTATTATTTTGGAATTTTTTGTGGTTTCCGTTGTATAGGTAGTTGTGTTTATTAATGTAGATCCAATAGCCTGAGTTCCTGATATTATTATCGTCGGTAGCATAATATCTATACAATCCACTAAGCTTGGATGAAGATTTGCGAGGGATTTTACTCCCAGACATACCTAATAATTTATTAACACTATAATATATTAGACTTTACTAACAAAGTTGTAAAGAACACTGCTATGAGTACGTTGTCGAATCCATTTCGAATATAGTAGTATAAATACATTTTTTGATGTGACCCCCACTATTCTGGTTTATTGTATCTAATGTCCAGTTTTGTACTTTAACTTAACTTTACACACATGTACTTGTTAACAGTCCAAACAAATAATAATATATCAATAAAAAGTGACTCTATCGGACACAAACTGTTACACCTACATTATATTATATATATTACTTCAAAATATTGTAAACAAAATTAATTGATACTAATATGATATCGTTTCTACTAATTCCTATAACACCTTTTGGATATCTCCATCCAATATTGCAATATTGTATTATATATATATATTGTATACATCTAATATCGTTATTATTGTGTTCAGTAATTGTATATTTAGTTTCTATCGCGGAAACGTACTCATAACATATTCTATGTTGTGTCATTTATTTGTCTTGTGCTATTAAAACTATTTATTGAAATAAGAAAAAAAAATGTACTTTGATAATATTGTGACGTTTAGTGTACTTGTTCAAACGGTCACCTATTGTATACACAATTTCATGTAAAAAAATATGCATCCAAAAACCAAAACAACATCATTTAATTTGATTTTAAAACTTTATTAATTGCTTCCCACAAGCTATTCTTAAATAGTTTACATACTTTCATCACTAATATTAACACCAAAGAGTTTAGTTAAAAGCAATTAAAAAAAAAAACATTAAATAAATAAATACATTAAAATAGTTGTTTTAAAAACATTTGATTAGGTTGAAAATTAACGTTCTTCAATTTTAACAAGATTTAAAATCGTATTTATTTGTTTTGAGTCTATTGCAGTTTCTATTAAGCCTGTGTATGTTGATATTGTTGTACCGAGTTCTAAGCAGATATCTGTTATTAATGCTTCAAATTCGTTTTTAGTTATCGTTACTGAAACAAAACAAAAACTTTCTTTTAACTTGAAAACGAAACATCAATTTATTTATATTGTTACAATACAAACAGCAGTTAAACACCGCACAACTGACTAAAAAATTACAACAATACCATTTCTATTTTACGTTAACTCCATAGTATAAACAGTTTTTTCAAAATTATTCTTTAATGATAAATTAAGTAAAATTAATGTTTACTTTTATCTGCCGCATCGACAAGATAACGTTGTTGTTGTACCACAAGCAGCACAGTTTTTTCGGTATTTGTGGCCTTGCCCACATAATCCATAAACTGTCTCAAAGTAATGCCAGTGATTTGAATATTCCTTTGGTGTTGATTGACATGTGTCAAAATCTTTAATAAAGTGCGATCTAGTATCTGAAATTTAATTACACATATCATTTTTTACACGTCGTTACATAAAAAACTGATAATACAATTGAAATTCGATTAAACTAGAGATCAACAAAAATCGAACAACCATTAACGTGATACAAGCCAGAGAACCGAATAATTCCAATAAATGTATAGTTAAATAAATTCACGAAAAAAATCAAGTTTTTCCATTATTCACTTAATCAAGATGAACTCAACTTTTTACCCGTCAACAAATTTTTATATTATCCACAGTTAAGTGAGGTCTACGAACATGGGTCGGATGAAATTCCAGATAAATATCGTTTTTTATTAGCCAACTAAATAAAAATTGAATCTCCAAAATGAAACAAATATATTTTACAGAATTTGACCAATTGATTTAAATTAAATACACACAATAAAAATAAATGTTAAATTATAATTATCAATAATCTAAATTAGGATTAAAATTTTTAATGTTAAGTAGAAAAAATCGTAATATTTTCGTAATATAATGAAGTATATGATAGAATTTTTTTGGATAGTTTTGTGATTTTTTTTTATCAAGATATCAAAAGTTTCCATCTATTTTTTTCCGTAGCATTAGCAATTTCGTAATTTTTTATCAAGTGAATATCAACATTTATTTCTTTTTTTTTTTTGAAGAATTTTTTTATTGAACAAAAAAAAAATTTAAAAAACTTTTGACATAAAATTGACCCGAACCACATCTAAAAATGGGTTTAAAAATCTAAAAAAAAATATCAAAAATTATCTTTTCATCCAAATAATATATTCTCAAAAGAAGAACAAAAGATAATTAAAAAAAACATTTTTTTTGTACCACCCTAATATTCTTTTTAGTACTCTTATGTGTTTTTTTCTCACATCTCTAAGAGAGATTTTCTTACCAGACTAATTGTAGATTATCATCGAAATTCGAAAACAAGCATAGTCTTATTTAAAAAAATTCAGTACAGTGAGGACGGGGTGGTCACGGGTTTACAGTGATTTTCATGAGATTTGGTCTAGTCATAATATAATTTAAAGTTTAGCATATCCTATTTTTGTATACATACAATGTTTTTTTTTTTGATAAACTTTAAAAATAATGAGTTACTTTTAAGGTACAATTATATTTAAGAGATTTAACAATAGTGGAATACCATAGGTACATGTTAAACGTTTAGTTTACTGTACGAAATGTAATACAAATGATTTACAAAATATGTATAAGTAATAATTGTAGCTACAGCCCTCCCGGTCAAATACGCCATACGAATATTATTATTATCGTTAGTAATTGTTGGAAAAAATTATATTTACCTCTTCTGTGCTCTCGCTGTTAACCGATGGAGTATAAAATGTCAGACACAACAAAATAAAAAATTTTATATTCGTCATTGTATTAATATGTTATCGCTTTCAATAAGGCTACCGACTTTATCTGAAATCTACTGCACAATGATTGTTATGCTCAATAACAGGCAGTTTTATAGTAAATAGTTTTGGATGAAACATTTTTTTGAAATATTGATATATGTCGAAGACATTCACACTACAGTTCACTGCACAAACACAAAAAATTCTACCAAAGAGCGGACTATTTGTTTAACATGACATGACTGTGTTGTTGCCTCCACAGAAAACTTTTAGAACAACAATTTTCTAAACGTTTCATTGGGACTATTTTTTAGTGTCCCTTGCGCATGTAACACATGTGTGGAAATATAAATTATTTTTTGCTCATACAGTGACTTGTTGTTCTGGCTTTTTTCATCGGCGCAGAGTAAATAGTAATACTGTATTTTGTACCTATAAATCTAACGCAGGCCCTTGCCATTTGGTTTTGCGATGAGCTGTTTTTCTTTTGGATGTTTACCATCTAGCCAAAATCGTAACGACAGAAAATGATTGCCGTGTTCGTTTTTATATACCTTTATATATCTTTGGGAGATTTGCATACATATCCAATACATTTGCATTTAACGTGTTTTCGATTTTCGTTGAGTACACCTTTGATTGTAATACATTGTCAGATTGGTCACGTGACGGTTTCAAATTTCCCAAACCGTTGTTTTTCAAATCAGAAAATGTACTTTCAGGGGGGATTATATTTAAAAACAAATTACTCAACACAGTTTTTAAACAATTATTAAAAAGAAGATTAAGATAAAAATATTATTTTAACGGATATCCAAATTTCATATGAATTTAAAATACCTAGGGTAAAAAATATTTTAAAGGCTGTTTAAATCAATTTATAATAATTAACTTTAAATAATTTGTATTATTATTGTTATTCGATTGTTGTAAAAATTATAGCCAGATTTTTTTGCTTTATTCTTATTTTATGTAAAATAATATAATCGAATATCAATATTGAAAAAATTGCAAATTTAATTTATTTAATTACAAGAAGCTTGTAGTCGAAATTTTGTCTGGATTTTTGGTCTAAAAAAAACCCAAATGGCTTTTACTCATAAAAAAAATATTTTAACTAAAAAAAATACCTTGTGTAAGGGGGGGGGGGGCAACACCTCCCAATACCACTAAGAATTGGTATATCTATTGGTTACCTATCATTTAAATTAATTGAATACAATATATTTAAACAAAGAGTATTATTATTTTATTGATGTATAATATATAATATAATTTATATAAGTATAAAAAATGGCCAATATAAATAAAACAAAAATTTATTGGATCAAAGATATTACAATGATATTTAAATTATCATATTTAATTTACCTAGGTAGGTACTTAAGTCTTAAATACAAATTTAAAAAAATTAATGAATAAATAATATAAAATAGAACTGAAACATACATAATATGGATTACTTTTGGATTTCAATTGTTTTTACAAAAAATATATTTTTAAAAAATTGTATTTATTCTATGATATTTCATAGAACATAAATCATAAGTAATGAGCATAAACTAGTTAGACAACTAATATATTTTGTTTTATATTTCTATTATATTAGGTCTTTTGTACTTGAGTACACGAGATTACTCTTTAATTAAAGGTGGTTATAATAAATTAATTTGTGTTAATTAAGTTATCTAATCTATAGTTTTCATATTTGTGAATAACAAATTATTTTAACATGTTAGTTTCAATAATATTTTGGTAAAAAATAAAAAAATTTAAATCAAGAAAACTTATCTCTGAATTTGATGATTTAAATTGAATTTAAAACGTTTCCATAACATTAATGTTAGTTATTGTTATATTATAACGGGGAGCGTTACCTCACGGTCCCCGTGGGGAGAGGACTAGGGTTTTATAGTACTCCTCATCGTTTTTACTTCTCAGTTATATTTTTTAATTAAACTAAATATTATATTATTTATGAATAATATTTAGTAGGTATATTAGTAAAGAGAAACAACGAAATACCAAAAAATCGTCCCATGTCTGCATCAGAGCGAGTCCTTGTTAAATTAACTAAGCCAAATTTATAGCTTTTAAGTACAAAATTACGATTAAGATAATATATTTTTTAAGTCCTCTTATTACATGCAAAAAATACAATTGATGACGATTAATTTGAATTACAAATTTGTTAGAATTATAGTTTATGAACGATGTTTTTAACCACAAATACATTAATTGGCCGCAATTAATTTTGCATTTGTTTCTTTTATTATACATTTATTAAAAAAATATATTATTATTTATATGAGTATTTATCAACTTATTAATAAACAAATCTCTGTTACATTAGTTATGGGTAAAATTCTCAATAAAAACAGATTATTTTTGTATACCTAAGCTGTTTTTAATTTTAACGGGTGCATATAGAAATAGTAATACCACTGTCTACAGACTGAGTAAAAATTACTGCTAGGTTGTTAAAAAATTAATGAAACATTTTTTTTCCATATGATTTGTTGTTCCGCGTAACCATTTAACTTTGTTCTGTAGTTTTTAATTCTGAATCGTAATTGATAGAATACTAAATCAGTTGATTCCAGAAACAAATCTTCAGGTTTTAATACCGTATTTATATTCCAAGCACAATGTATAAGTATTTATTAAAACTTAAATCACTTCTAAAACGTTAATGTAACCATAACTAAAGTTTTGCTTGGTTCAAGACCTCATAAAATGTTCTCAAAAATCTCTAGTCAAACTTATTTTTATTAAGAAGAAAACTCATGAAAATAGGGAACAATTACACATTGACCGTAGTCAATTTTCAGGTTGCTATGTGTGATTGAATCAACAGTCAACAGGTAATGAAAACATTTTCATTATATTGTCAATTAAAATAATATAATGATAACTATGACAATGCATTTGTATAGATAGAAGATCAACCCTAATCGTACCCACCCTAATACTAAAATATTTTCAATATTGTCTATGAGGTGTATAAAACCCTAGTGTCCTCCCCCCTCCCTCCTAGAATCACTTAAGGTTAATATTGGTGTAGACCAAAACGCACGTTGCATTCTAAATATATTCAGTATATTCTATCACTATATTTTGTTGAAAAAAAAACCAAGAAAACAGTAAACAATACGTTTACGGTCAAAGAAGTAGAAACTCCTCTAATAACGATTTTTATAGGGGAGGGGGTGGGACAAATTGTAACTAAGTCCTAAAGTTAAGACTAAATTTAGTGTGTATCAAATATCTTTCAAACATATGATAGTCACCACTTTTTTTTTTTTTTGGGGGAAAATTATACAAAATAATTAATTAACAGTCATTTTGAAAAAGAAATTGATAGATTTTGTAACTTAATGTTTTTGTACGAGGACTTAAATTGCTGAAATCGGTCGCATGGCACTTATTTGAATCTATCTAACGCGGCCATGAACTATTTTATTATCGTTATTACTTTATACAGTAAATGTGTACTTATTTTCTTGCACGGGAACGTTCTCAAAACATATTGTAAGTCGTGCCATTTATTTGTCTAAAACTGTAAATTGAAATAAGAAAAAACGTACTTTGATATTGTTTTAGTGTACTTGTTCAAACAGTCACCAATTTTATACACAATTTCATGTAAAAAAACATGCATTCAAAAACCATAACATCATTTAATTTGATTTTAACGCTATATCAGTGACGGCTCGTGGCTATGTGCGATTTTAATGTATTTCATTAGAAAAAAAAAAATGGAAAATAAAAAAATTAGGTAGACCTTTACCAAGTTTACCCAATTCAACCAAAAAAAAGGACAAAATGAATACACTCGTCGTTTTAATACTGGGCTTTATCAAAAGTTCAAATGGCTTTGTGCTCGTGAAACTACCACAAAGTCATTATTAACGTTATTTTGTTTCCCTTGTGTTTGTTTTGGAGGTGAGATATTTTGGAGCAAGACTGGTGTAAAAGATTTAATACATCTTTTAGCCAAAATAAATAAACATGAAAAATCGAGATATTTTATAAAAAATTGTAAATTGTGTAAAATTTTGTGAAAATTACAAATTACCTACCCTTACATGGACACGATGCAAAAATTTCATAAAAAAATCAACGCATTTTTCGTAGTTTGATAAGCTTCAGATTTATACCCAAGTTTACCGAACATTTTCAGGAGTCTGTTGTCTTTAAAGTTACTTCATATTTACACGGATTTTCCTCAAATAAATAGATTTTATATCATTTTGGGTTATGGTTTTCTAATTTTTTATTCCAATCCTGCACTATATGAATTGCTTCCCACAGGCTATTCTTAATTAGTATATATATTTTCATCACTAATATTAACACCGTGGAGTTTGTTTGAACGCAATTTTATAACATACAGTTGTAATAGCAACTGTATAAATCAGAAATCATACCTGAAAGGTACCTAATGTTTAATTGATGTATGAATAACAGGCAACAGTTTGAACAGGTATACGAAATCATCACTTCAATCTATAATTTATCTTATTTAAATATATTGTTTTTAAAGTCCAAGACAAATGAATAACACAGCTATACGTATCCGTGTTAGATAACAAATGTAGTCTTATTTATTTATTTATTTAAAAAATTGCTTCTTATAGAAATATCAAAAACAATTATTCTATCATAATTAATAACTATTAAATTTCGATGACCTAAAATTATAGTTTTATACGTTTGTCGTTTAATATTATTATTTTTCAAAAAAATATACCCTGAAAAATCTGTTTGATGAATCATTACTTTTGATTTTGAATTAAATGTAAAAAATAATGTTTAACATGTTACAACAGACATTTTACCATTTTTTTCTACAAATAGTATATAGAAACTTTTTAATTCTAAGGTAAACATTTAAAACTTTTGAATCAATAAAAATAATATACCTAATAAGCCGATTAGGTATATAAATTTCCTAAAGTGTCGTTTTTTAACTTGTACTGGACTCATTACCACTGATGGACGTTTTACTCAAATAAATAAATACATTAAAATAATTGTATGTTTTACACACATTTAATTAAGTTGAAAATTAACATTTGTCAATAATTGAATTAAATTATTTAACAAGGATTTAAATGAATTTTATTTCATTCTACTGAAGCTTGTTTTGAAGCTTCTTTTTTTTAGCGTTTTTTATAGCAATTGCATCCTCTATTTGTCCAGCGTATTGATCTATTTCTTTGGTTAATATGTTACAGATTTTTTTTATTAGACCATAAAAATCGTCTTGATCTATGATTTCTGAAACAAAAAAAAAACTTTCTTTAACTTAAAAACGAAAGATCAATTTATACAAATTATTTAGAATACAAACAGCAGTTATACACCGCATAACTGACTAAAAGAAATGTTAAATGCCAGGAATTTTTATGACAACTATACCATTTCTATTTTATGTTAACTTCATATAAACAGTTTCTTAAAAATTATTATTTAATGATAAATGAAGTAAAATTAATGTTTACGTGTAAATGGCACTGTGTCGGTGTCGAAATGGAAGCGACCAAAACGCTGCGATGCCGCAATCTGCGCAGTGTTTTTGGAATCTTCAGGAATATAATCCATAAATTGTCTAAGCGTCATGCCATTCAATTGAGTTGCATACTTATTATACTTACTTGCATACTTATGGTGATGATTGATATCTTTTATAATCGTTTGAAAAAGGAGTTCTGCGGTCTGAAATTTAATTACACTGATATTATTACACGTCGTTACATAAAAAACGAATAATACAATTTAAATTCATTTAGGCTAGAGATGCAACCTAAACCGAACAATCATTAACGTGACACAAGCCAGAGAACTGCATAATTCCAATAAATGTATGGTTAAATAAATTCACGAAAAAATCAAGTTTTTCCATTATTCACTTAATCAAGATGAACTTAAATTTTTACCCGTGAACCAATTTTTATATAAACCACAATTTAATTAGCTATTTACTTTAAAACAAAATTTGTACGACTAAAACTCATTTATGATTGAGGTTTACGAACATGGGTCGGATAAAATTCCAGATAAATTTCGTTTTTTTATTCGCCAACTAAAAAAAAGTTGTATCTCCAAAATGAAACAAATATATTTTTATTTATGGGACATATGTTTTAATTTGGAGTACTTTAAATAGCCTATTATTAGCTGTTCACTTTTATTTATGACAATTCCTGTAGACCTGTGACCTATCCGTCGCCTCTATGCTTTGATTACATTACCCATTGCCTATAGTCTACTGTACTAGTCCTCTCGGATAAAATCACTTTGGTCTTTGATTACTATTTAAAAAACCAGTACAGTGGGGTCGGGGCATAATGGGGACGGAGCATAGTTGGGACGGGGAGGTCACAGGTTTACAGGAATTTTTAAATCTGAAAGTGATAAAATCACTTTCGAAAAAACGCTTCGATGCAAATCGGTAGTTAGTATTTTCAAGCCAGTACAGTCCAAACCAAGCACAGTATAAACCAGCAAAGTTAGAAAGTTTTAAATTAAGATTCTGTATTTACAAATGAGCATCAAAGCGTTTATTTGAAAGTGATTCTATTCAATTGTATCACTTTTATTTATAATAATTCCTGTAGACCAGTGACCTCTCCGTTTCCTCATTGCTTTGATTACATTATGCCTATACTCTACTGTACTAGTCCTCTCGGATAAAATCACTTTCAAATTAACACATAATCAATGTCTTGTTGAATTTAGTAGGAATGGTCGATGATTCATGTTTCAATCGTTCGTACTCCAAAATTTATAATTTTTTATTAAACGAAAAAAAACTTAAGCTTAAATTATAAAATCGACACGAACCATATCTAGGAATGGGTTTAAAAATCTAAAAAAAATATCAAAAATTATCTTTTTATCCAAATAATATATTCCCAAGAGAAGAACATAAAATAATTTATTTTTAACCCCCCTTTTACAAATATTACTTATTAGTTAAATATTACTAACGTTTATAGCCACTAGCTGTTGGCTGGTGCCTGTTACATATTTTACATTTTTAACAATACTATAACCTTATATGGAGATTTTAAAAATAATATTTTTTCAATAATGGTATAGCAGCAGTAATACAAAGTTAAATTCTCACGAGATTTGGTCTAGTCATAATATTAAGTATTATCATTAATGATTTTTAATTATATTTAAAATATATATTTATTTGAACATTGAATTTTATTATTCCTCTGCCACTTATAACTCTTTAAGTACTTATTTAAAACTTCGTTATCGATTAGTCAAAATTATAGCATAAGCTACTTTTGTATACATACTTTTATTTTTATTTTTTGACAAACTTTAAAAATAATTAGTTACCTTTAAGGTATAAGTATACTTAAGAGATTTAACAATAGTGGAATACCATACATGTTAAACGTTTAGTTTACTGTACCGAATTTAATACAAATGATTTACAAAATATGTATAAGTAATTGTTGAAAAAAACTATATTTACCTCCTTATCTGGGTTAGAGTTGACTGATGGTGTATAAAATGTCAGACACAAAAAAATAAAATAGTTTATATTCGTCATTATATTAATATGTTATGGCTTTCAATAAGGCTACCAACTTTATCTGAAAACTACTACATAATGATTCTTATGCTCAATAACAGACAGTTTTATAGTAAATAGTTTTGGATCAAACATTTTTTTAAATATTATATATATATATATATATATATATATATATATATAAGTCAAAGAAATTCACACTACAATTCACTGCACAAACACAAAACATTTAACCAGAGTGACTGTTTGTTTAACATGGCATGACTGTGTTATTGATTCCGTAGAAAACTTTTAGAACAACATTTTTCTAAACGTTTCTTCGGGACAATTTTTTAGTGTTATAATGTTTGAATTTCAATCCAACGGAAAAGCCATAATGAATATATGTCGGTAGAGTCTTTGAAATCAGTTGACAACTACTACATTTTTGTTTATGTAAACATTGGAAACAAAACCGCACAATGTACAAAAACTTGAATTTCTCATTTATAGATAAAAACAAAGTATCTCAGTTAAAACATGATACTGACCACATAATAGATTATCAAAGTACATAGATAATAAAATGTAAAAAAACATTTATAGTGTCATAAATTAGGTACCTGACAATTTATATGAACGGCATCAATTAATGGATTTGAGTAATTCGTCTTTAATACTCAACATTTTTGAGTGTTGCTACTAACATCATTGCGGTATTGTTTATTGGGCCAAAAATTAAAAAAAGTTAACCCTTCCCATTTGAAATCGAGAAAAACGCCCAAAAAAATGTACATCTTTTTCAACTTTAAATTATGATGCTCTATAACTTCTTCTTTATTAGCCTTTTCTATTAAAAAAATTAGGTATTGCTCAATCAGCAGATATTTTCTTTTCTGTATCATGTGTAATACACTACGCTACATGGGAATTGCACGTGGTCTGATTTTAAGAAGTTTTGTATCGGCAATGTTTAAGAAAAATGAGGTTAAAATTAATTTCGACCATTCCAATACTTTTACCGGTTAATTTGTATAAGTTGCGAGGTATTGTTTTTAGTTTAAATAATTTTTTTTATGAGTAAAAGCCATTTGGGTTTATTTTAGACCAAAAATCCAGACAAAATTTCGACTACATAGATGGTCCAATTTCAAATCTGTAAAGAGATTCGAGTTCTTTGGCTAGTTAATAAACATGTTATGCAGGAAGCCCGATTTCATTAAAAAAAAATTTCAGTTTCTTGTAATTAAATAAATTAAATTTGCATTTTTTTCAATATTAAAATGCGATTATTTTACTTAAAATAAGTCAATAAATCAAAAAGATCCGGCTATAATTTTTACAACAATCGAATAAAAGTATTAATACAAATTATTTAAAGTTAATATTTATAAATGGATTTAAGCAGCTTTTTACAATTTTTTTTTTATCTATTTAAAATGTGTTCGAATAGAAATTTATATGAAATTACTATTTGGATATTCGTTAAAATAATATTATTATCTTAATCTTTTTTTAAAAATGATTACTAAAAATTGTGTTGAATAATTTGTTTTTAAATAATCCCCAGGTTTGCTGTGTCATAATTATGAAGTTTTAAAAACCGTAAATTTCGTAGTTGAGGCTTGATTTCAGAGCATACCAGTAGGTACACAAACACTTGCTTAAATATCATAATGCCGATTGTTATTGTCTGTTTTTCAAAACAATTTCTAAATTTCTATTTGTATATGGCGCATCGTCGTTTGAGTACATTTTCTGTCGTTACGATTTTGGCTCGGTGGTAAACATACAAAAGCAAAAAACAGCTCATCGCAAAACAAATGCCTTACGTTAGATTGATATAAAATACAGTATCGCTGTATGCTCTGCACCGATGAAAAAAGCCAGAATAACAAGTCATTTTATGGGTATAAAATACCTTATATTTACACACATGTGTGTTAAATGCGCAAGGGACATGATAAAAAAATAAAGAAGAATCACGCTTCGAATATACATATTGCGAACAGGTCAATGAGTCAAAATCATCATTATGTTTTTGCACCGTTGAAGAAACAAAATAACAAATCGTCGTAAAACAAATAACTTAGTGGGTCACATACCACACAACAATATGCACTGCAATGATGTGTAATATTAAATATTTCAATACGGCTACATAATCAGAATCATCACAGGGTTTTTAATAATTTTCAAATTTATAACACATTTTTTAAAACATTACGATTACACACAACTAATGAAACAGAGATTTTTTAGCTTCAAAAAAGGTATTGTATTTACAATGCTGTGTTTTTTTGTTTGGTGTCTGCACCCATGATATTTTTAGCAACTCTATAAATTCGAAATTGTACTTTATTGGGCGAAAAATTTAAAAAAGTCAACCCTTCCCATTCGAAATCGAGAAAAACACCTTTTTCAAAACATTTGGTTACCAGTCTTCCCTTAATGCTCATGAATTAAAGCTCACACCCGTGAGAATACACTATTGACTATAGGTACTATAATAATTATTTCAAAGAGTTCTAATTACAAAGGTTTCCCGTATAGGTCTAATATAATCGATTTAGATCAGTCTAATAAATTAAACAACAATTATAGCCCAAGATAAAAAACTTTTATACTTGTATGTCAAAAGGGCCATTTTTGAATATTTATTCAATTGTAAGCCTTCAACAAAGGTCATAAGATACAAGTACCAAAAGATACCTTCAACACAAGTTCTTTCAGTGAGTTTACTTCAATTTTTCTTACATTAGTAAAAAATGTCTAGGTACTACAGCTGGAATTATAAAACGTAAAGCAAAAATAGAAACGTATAAAAACAAGTTTTGAATTAATTAATGTTTTTATAGCGTGGATCTATTGTTTTTTACACAGTCATAAGTCAACCGCATTATTGTAAAAAATAAAAATATCATGTATAGCATTGTATTTTGGACACAAGTTCTTAGTTTTGTACGGAAGCTAAAGTAATTTGGTTCTTACTTTAAAATCTATGATCATTGTTAACGGATTATAAAAAATGTGTACATTTATTCAAATACATGTATATTGTGTGGGGAAAATTTGTTTAAAAACGTGTGAAAAAATGCAAAAAGCTGCAAGGTCCCACCGAGATTTGAACTCGGATCGCTAGATTCAAAGTCCAGAATGCTAACCATGGCACCGTCTTGTAAATCAATGTAAATAACAATATAAAATGTATAATATATATTTTTACAATTAATAATTAAAATATTATCGTATGAAACTCGGTTTTGCTACTCGAGCACGTTTACCTTACCTAACGGTAACTATTTATAACTTAAAGCAGTCAGGGCTACGATTGGTGGTATAGTATAAACAATAATTTAGTAAACAATATACAAAAAAAAAACAGTATATAATTTCCTATTAACAAAATCGAAAATCTGCCTTTTAGACACCGTAGAGAAAATAAAAAGTTAGTCATAAAAACAATAAATAATAAAAGTCCAATAGATACGATAGACAATGTCTTCTACGAAAGTCACTTATTATCAAACTTTCGCCATGACTCAGAGTCGAGAAAAAATAATTTTAAAAGTTGTGTAATTAGATCATCTTGCTAATTTTTCACAGATTTGGTCAGTTTTTAAACATAGTACCGATCCCACTGGACTGGTTTTATTGAACACCTATTTTTTTTGTTGATATTATTGTATTAAATATAAATTTTACAAGTGTGGGGCCTATGTGTTCTAACACAATCATCGAAAGGTGTTCCATTACGGATAATGTCTAAGGTGACCGAGTTAATACATTATATAGGGTGTCGATGAAGGTAAGTTTACAACAAGCTTTGATACAAGAGTTGGGAAACAATTGATCTGTTAGCCGTTTCGTTGATTAAATACGAATGTATTTGATTTGTATTTAAACAATGACCATTTAAAACGAGTGACAGCTTACCTCCACGCTACGGTATACCCTATCACTTTTCTAGACGGTTATAGATAATATAATATCATAGATAATATAATATTTATCTAAAACCGTGTTTTCTATGGGTGTACCAGTGGCAATCACTCCTTATCACACACACACTATCACAAATTTGTCAAGAAAATGTCTGCGTATGCGTTGTTGTGTAGTGTGCATTAAAATCACAAATTAGTTGTTAAAAGAAAGTTGCGTTGCTGTTGAGAATTGAGATTTATTTTTGTAATTTCGCCTTTTCTGTGAATTAAAACTAATTAAATTAGCTTAAGCGCCATAGATACAATTTGTTTTCATTATTGTTGCTACGGGTCCGATTCGGGAGCATCTCTAGATTTTAATCTTAATAACTTGGTCGGATTCTGTGATAAATGCCTAACGTGTTGCGTCGTATTTCGTTTTTGAGTTACAATTGAGTTTTAACTGGCCTGTAATTAATTTATTATAAATATAAATTAGCAGCCCTGGTCACAGCTGTTTACGGTTTTACGTTGTGTGAGTACCTACCGTTTTGTATTTCGAATTTAATTACACTATTACCGTGTTTGCTGTCTTCCATTAACTTAGAATACTGATAGTGAATAAATAGAATCATAATCTATAAGTGTTCGTTTATTACTATTTGTTTACTCGGAGTTGAGTCGAGTGATACGGCATCAACGCTACTTTAAATTATTCTAGTCGGTAAAATGGTCTATCTTCTAGATTTAATCTTTGTCGTCTTAGCTACTTAAGTACAAGTAAAACTTGTAGTATTGTGTTATTCATCTAATTTAAATAAATTAAAATTCAGACTATTTGTTGTGTTTGTTTGTAAACTTTTTATTTTACCTTAGTCTTTTTTATAGAAAATAAATTGTATTTTGTATCTTATATATGTTTTAGGTTATCTCATTTTACAATTGGTAAACAATCAAACACAGAAACGGTACATTTATAATCTAAACTGTACAAGCCAAACAATTATGCAAGAACACTTCGAAAAAAGTTATTAATTCTATAAGTATGTCTAATGACTAATTAATTGATTAGTTTTGTACAAGTATTATTTATTACCGTTAACGTTTGTATTTTAATTGTGGCCTTTTATATAATATAGCAAAGTCCTGGGGTATAGGTATGCACTTTTTACTTTAAAATTTACAGGGTGATAATTTTATTGTGAACCACTCAATATCAGAATCAGTATTAAAACAAAACCAATATCAAAACCAAAATTTATTATATATAAGCTACGTCAAATTAGGCCATTAGCTGTCTTCTGTATTATATTATTATTATTACAAATATTTGTTATTAAATAAAAAAGTTAAAATGATGTAATCAAGTTGTCCTATTAAACCTCTATGTATATAATATACCACACAGAAATACAACTAATGTTAAATGTCAGTTATAGAGTTTAGAAGTTTAAAAAATTAAACATGAAAATGATGAAACATAAGAACACTCCTTTGAAAAATCGTTTGAAGTTATTGAACCTAAACCGTTAGATGTGCAGTTCAAAAACAATGAAATTTCTACAACTGAAGAGTATTTGGTAAAGAAAGAAGTCAACAATACTTATAATTATAATAGAGTAGTAAGCAAATCTATGAAAATATAAAATAATGTACTATTTAGTTAGGTAGAGAAACATTTGCATACTGCATTTTTTATTGATAAATCCTGAAAGATAATATACAAAATGTGTTCAAAAATATTTGATTGATAAAATTGGTATAAAGAAACTCGCCTCCAGTATTAATTATATAACATAATATAATTTATTTATACACAAAACAGATCCGATAACTTAAAATATAGTTAAATCGTTTTTATAAATACCCCATACTTAAAAACAAAAATTTTATAATATAATAACTTAATACTTATACCACAACACATCATTATATATATATATTGAATATACACCAATTAATTTCTAGGTAAACAATAAGTTTTTTTACATAAATGAATAGGTCAGGAAGGTGTATATTAAAATACAACTAAAATTCTTAAAAGTTCTATTTTAATTTAATAGTTAAATGCTGAGCTGGAATGGTAGCAATTGTAAAGTGTAATTCTTCTAATTTTATTTTATAAGCCATTTTTGTTAGGTTTTTCAGAACTTATGAATTTAAGGCCCAAATTTATTTTTTATTAAAATAAGAGTGATCTTGAACTAATTTGTATTGAATAATTTAGAATATTCTTTAAAGTTATAAAAGAGCCATTCCCTGCTATCATTTGAAGGTGTGTTAAAAAAATGTGAATCAGAATTGTAAAAAAATGCATGTAAACATACATACAAACCACAATCATACGTAAACCGCCATTCCTCGAATTACTGTAACTAATCTTTTGTCTTGTATAGGAGTCTCCAAATACGAAAAAGCGCATTAGCACTCCTGTTGGTTCCAGCAATGTGTATATACCGAACAATTTGTGGATGAATCCACAGTTCTTGATCTCCTTGACAATTATCATTTGAATGATCTATAACACGCTTCCAATTTTGCCCGTCATTTGAAACTTCAATGTAATAAGAGAAAGGCCTACAATATCAAACAATTTGAATAAATTTTAGAGTAGTGATTGTAAATTAAATATTAGGAACAGAGTTGTGGAAAAGTTGTCGAATAATGAATACAAAATATGAACAGTTAATGCTTAATAAACATTAAGAATAGAAAACAACTTTTCAATCATTGATAAATTTGTTTGCTTTACTTATGATTAAAAAAAATTCTCAACAAATAAAAATGGTTTTAAATAAATAAAAGTTACAAATGTTTTGAATAATTATTCAAATAATTTTTTTTAAAATAATGATGATTTCAGTATAAAACATTTATAAGTTCATAACATACTTTTTACTTTCAACAGGATCCCATAACGTTATATTTATAAAGTTTACAAATGATGGTTTTGTCAACCTTATCATATTGGTACCGATTTCCATGTATCTAACCGCGAAACCCCGAGACTGATGAATTGTATTCAAATCGGGAAGTGGAGAACTATGAGACTCGTACCGAATACGATCATCGAGTACTAAAAAATTCAATAATTAAAACCAACATATTTGGTGACATACAAATTGATGTGTACAACAAGCATACTTAGCCGTCCCCGTAATTGAGGCTTATCTTGTGGCCACGTGTTTCTTCTTAATTGCATGGCAGCAGAAATTATATCCGACCTAACCAGTTGTGATTCCCTAGCTTGAGACTGTTCTCCAACACTCATTATCGGATATCTGACGGCCGATAAAACTTTAATTTTTGTATCACGATTCAGTTTGTTTTGGTTCTCATTGACCCAGCGACAAACCTCACGGAATATAACCAATTCGTTAGCATAAAAAGAGTCCCGATTGAGGATTTCTTGAAGAACTTCCTAAAAATAAAAAACAATTGTTTCTCAACTTTTCACCTTACGCTAGCAATATTATTATTATTATTTTTTTTTAAAATTATCATTACAGATGACAAAGTCCTAAAATCATTGGAATCCAATACTTCCTCGGCGTTGTCATCGATAAATTTGAGGAATTCGACTTCGAGCTCCTCGTTTTTATAAATTCTTGCCAAAGTAATGAACGTACATGCATTGTATTGGTTAATGGTTCTTTGCAAATACTTTTTCAGTGAAAGTTTTAAATGTGAAATCCCAAAGTAATCCGAAAGCTTATGTAATTCGAAAATTTCTTCATTCTGAAAAATAAATAATAAAAAATGTGTTTAATCTTTCTTTATTAACCTTTTTTCAATTGAATACATCATTTAATTTAACAGATTGAACACATATTACCGGCTAAACGATCACAAATAAATCACTAATACAAATTATATTTATGCCGTTTAATAACCGCTAAACTACGTCGATTATTCGTTACCTTAAAATCCCTTAAATCTATTCGGCCAGTATAAATATATTTAAAAATTCTTTGAAATAAAGTTAATGATACATCTTTTATTGGCACGTCCGAATCAGAAGTTTTGCTACCACCTCCATAAAATAAGATCCTAAAAATAATACACTATATAATACAAACATTAAATTATGGAGTAAAAAAGATAAGAACGATACCTTTCTCAGAGGTAAGCAAGATAATTGTATTCTACTTGATATTATTTATACCATTTTTGGGATGATGAAACCATTTGTTTTGAATGTCCAAATATACAGGGTGTCCCATTTTAAAATACTAATCGATTTGTCTCTAAAAATACTAATCCAATCAAAAAGTTGCTTATTAGAGACTTTTAGAGTACAAAGGGGGACGTTATAAAAATTAAAAAAATAGGGTCCAAAATTCAAAATGGCTGACTTACGGTCAAAAAATTTTTTTTAATGGAAACCTGTTTTTTGTTAACCAAAGAAGTGTTCTTATCAAAACTAACAACTTTTGTAGGAAATTTTTTCGGTATAACCCATAATTTGTAAATTAAGTAGACCAAGGTTACCACACATACAAAGGTTACTATACATGACAAGGTTACCATGTGCATTAAAATAAAATAACAAAACTAAAAATAGCTAAAGATACTTAATTTACAAATTATGGGTTATACCATTTAAATTATGGGTTTTACCGAAAAAATTTTCCTACAAAAGTTGTTAGTTTTGATAAGAACACTTCTTTGGTTAACAAAAAAAACATGGTTTCCATTTAAAAAACAACATTTTTTTGACCGTAAGTCAGCCATTTTGAATTTTGGACCCTATTTTTTAAATTTTTATAACGTCCCCCTTTGTACTCTAAAAGTCTCTAATAAGCAACTTTTTGATTGGATTAGTATTTTTAGAGACAAATCGATTAGTATTTTAAAATGGGACACCCTGTATAAAACAAGCTTTATACAAATTTTAAATTCGTTCATCGGCATATTTCATTTGGTTTCAAAATATTTAATGTGGTAACAGCGTTAAAAATAAGTGAAAGTAATATAAGAAAAATAAATAATAGGGATTTCATTTTAGGTCACAATGAAGTGTAAACTATTGTGAACTAAAAAAAACAGTTTTCATCCGCCTCAGAAGAAAGGCCTAAAGGAATATACTTAATTACAAGAATACAATACCTAAAAAATTTGCTTCGTGAGGCTAGTATACTACGATGGGCGCGCAATCGTTCTCCTTGTACCTCCAAAACAACGTCTGAATAACTAAATAAGTCTTGAAATTAATTAAAAATACACATACGAAAATAAAAAGTATTAATACCGAAAAAAGTGTTACCAAAAAAGCGTTAAGCTGTTATTTTAAATTATTTGTTGTATTTACAACCATCACATCGATTCAAGTAGTTATAATCTCGAACAGCCTCCCCCAAAATGCATTAACTGTAAACTGGATCATTCCGCCTTCGACCGTTCTTGCTCAGAATGGGCTAATCAAAAATGAATTAAGCGTATAATGGCCACTGCAAATTTCTCGTTTACTGAAGCCTCGAGGGTTAGACGCTCATGACTTTCCAACAAAGCTGTGTTATGCCGAAGTTTCTAATATTGACACCATTAACTTTAAGAATAATATTGTTGTTCAGAAATCCAGCTTAAATTCCTCTTCTTTTTCCCTTTCTAAAAACATTTCACCCTCTCCCCTAAAAAAACAAAAAAGATTTTACACTCCCAATAGCCGATTCACCTACACTTCCTTCTTTTCTAACTCAAAGTTCACACTTCATTTCAAACTGTAGCTTTTTACAATATGTTAGTCAGAATCTCCCCTCTCATCATCCTTCGGATTGGATGGTCTCCCTCGCTGAACAAATTTCTTCCTGCCTCCTTTTGGCCTAAAACTTTAATTGAGTCTTCCATACTAAAATACTTTAATAACACTGTTACTGATGAAGACTCTCTAATATACTAATGACGGTCGTTTCTCTCCCTTCTCCTTCTCTTTCTTTTTCAATCCTTCAATGGAATGTTCGTAGCATTCACCCTCGTTCTTCTGATCTTTCTCACTTACTACACGAACACCAATGCTCATTTGCTCTCCTTTCGGAATCCTGGCTTCTACCAGGATCACAGTTCCATTTACCCAGTTATAACATTATACGTTCTGAGATCGTTTTGATGGCTATGGTGGTGTTGCTATTGCAGCCCATAAATCCATTCAGATTCGCCCTTTATCTATAACTCCCTCTCTAAGTTCTTTGCGCCTAGATCACTCTATTGACCTCGTAGGTATTGAGACCTTCTCAAATAGTTCCTATTCCCTCAACCTATAGTCCATATATATCCCTCCTTCCTCAAATCCTTCCAAATCTGTTCTTAGTAATATTTTTTCCCTTGTTATTAACAATTTCATTTTGGGCGGTGACCTAAACGGTCACCATCAGGCTTGGGATTCTAATAATAATATCAGCCTTCGTGGTGAAAAAATTTTTTTCTCCATCACCCACTCCAATTTGTTCTTATTAAACACTGGAGTTCCTATCCGTCACAGTCGTCTCCTTCATCCTAACTCTGCTGTCGACTTATCTATTGCTTCCACTAACCTTTCGCTATCTCTTCTTCGGTCGGTACTTGATGAGTCCCTCTAGTAGCGATCATTTTCCTATTATTAATAAACGTTTATCCCAATCCCCTATTTCTTCTTCTTGTACTAGTCCTCCTCAAAATTGTTCCCTTCCTAGATTTGTTTTTTTAAAAGCAGACTGGGCAGGTTTTTCTTTATATCTTGATCGTCTCTTACTCTCTTTTGTAGCTTCCCCTTTTCCAATCGATGACTACCAGTTTTTTGTTACATGTATTATGGAGGCCGCTAAACTGGCCATCCCTACCCTTAAAGTGTCTAATAAATATAATAATTAAAGCCTCCAGCTTTAATGGTATTGTCAAATCGGTAATTGTACATATTGTGAAACCGCCCTGCGAACTGGCAACCGGTCTTTTTGTAAATAAATATAAATTATTGTAAATTATTGTGAATAAATGATGTCGGCCTGGGAGGGAAGCAAAGCGAAAGCGTTCCTTTCCCAGTCTGGGCAATTCGGCGATAAAAAAAAAAGTCATGCCTTCAGGCCTTGTCCTCCGACCATTTTAATTCCTCACTCTCCCCCCCCCTTATTCACCTCATTAAATCTCTAATATATAGCTTCTTCCTTAACAAGAAAAAAGTCAAATTTCTGTGGGGGCCCGCACATTTGGGTATCTTTGGCAATGATAAAAATTCATCTCCTTTTTGTACCCTCCATCTTAATGAAGCTCCTTGTAATTTTAACCACATTCTGCTTGACTGTCCTACTCTGCACCCCAACAGGAAAAAATTACTTTCCCATCTTAGTTTGTTCGGCTATACCTCCCTGGATCCCTCACTCCTATTAAATTCCCGTAGTCCCTCCGTATCGTTCTACTTATATCCTTCCTTTCTAAAGCTGGGTTTCTATCTAATTGTATTACTTTTTTCGCATGTTATTAGTTGCTTACATTTTTTTTTTTTTTATTATTTTTTTTTTATATTGATTAGTAATTGTCGTGATGTAATATTGTGAAATAAAAGCACATTAAAATAAAAAAAAAATTAAAAATAGTTCATAATGAAAGCGTCGTGGCATATGATATTTTGCCATTTTGTGTACTACCTAGTACCTACTTTAAATAAAATTAGAATTAGCAAAACGAGACACACTTCCAGCTTACTTTTAACATCTTATCACAGGTATAACAGATTATAATTTTAACAGAATATAATTTAATTTGGGCTAGAGTATTAACTAAACTGTATATAAGACAACCTTGACAAATTTATAAAATAATAAAGTTAAATGGTACAAATTCAATACCACATACCTGCCGCTTTGATAGAGGTCGCCTATGTCGCTGATCAAAATGTCGGTGTCGTCTATTTGGACTGGCTTCGGAAGACGAAGCCTCGGGAGACGAATCATCGGTAATATCAGGCCGTGCCATATAACCTTCAAATCAGAACATGCCAAATAAAATTAATAAAACAGCTGATTTTTATGACGAGTTTGTATGATTTATTTATTCATATAGCATACACCCACCCGATTTTATATTTATCATCTATTTGCTTATTTAATATTTTAAATAATATAATTATGATACTTATATCGCCCACAACAGAATAATCGGAGTACAATAATTTGTTTTTGCAGGAAAGAGGAAAAATTCTTACAAGAACTTAAATAAGTTAGCTTAAGTTAGCCTTATGTTCCATAATATTATGTACATGACTTAGGTATCGCTTATAGGTTGCTGCAATTAAATTATAAATAAATAAATAATTTGTATATTAATAAAATGTATTATTTACCTGGACTTAACCATAAAATAATAAATGCTAAACAATAAAGCTGCATAGTGTTATAATACGTGTTAATATAATATCAAATGTTGAGCACTTTAAAAAAAAATCACCATAAAGGAAACCACGTCAACAGATATTGAGCACTAGATTTATTACAATACCGTTTAATATTTTTCCACACTAAACGGAATATATTTTAAAAGAATCATAGTGTGTAGGCATACGTGTACGAATTTTTTACAAAGGCGCTTGTTATTGTCAAACATCAAACGGTAATTTCAGCTGACGTCAGTCTTGTTGAACATGCGAATAATTCGTTTGTAAGAATCAGGAAAAAATGATATTACTTACAGAAATGTCATGGAATCCATAAATATTCGGACCGCATAGTCACTGACCGTGAAAATACGGAAAAAAAACCAAACCGTAAACATCACGGAAAGTATTTTTCCGGAATCGAGAATTAAATTAGGTAGACCGTATTTGTGCGGAAAGTAAGAATCCGGAATATACAGGGTGACTGTTCAATTTTATCAGTTGTTACGTCGTACATCCGACCGCCGCATCGTTCCACGCCGACGGGCGGTCGTTGTTTTTGTTTCGAGTAGTATAAATACAATATATCCAACGAATACAGGGCACAGTTTCATTTTTATTTTACATAGGTACACGAGTAAAATGCTTGGAACAATATTTTTTCCATTCTTTTACTTGTATAGCCGTATGGCGTGTGACTTGTGTCCAGAGACACGCACGTCTGTGTTAATAATGCGTACCTGAACGCACATACGACCGCTGTTTGAAAGGTGCGGAATTATGAAAAAAAAATATCGTCGTTATGGTTGCAGTCCGTAGTGCTGCCTTCGATTTGATGAAGGGTGCGGGGTTCGATTCTTAACTACTACTTCCTTATTTTTTTCGACTTATTTTTTATTTAAAATTTGATTTAACTTTAAAACTGTAACCTCCTATAGTTTAGCGGAACGTAAAATAAAATAATGACTATTTTATGTATTTTAGGTTGTCATAATTTTTAGTCTTCTGTCTTTTTATACTACTATTAGTATATTTGTACTACATACATAAAGAGTATGCACAGGCGCAATTAGGGGGCGTTAGCACACCTAAGTTTAAAACGGGCACCGTCTAATATTTTTCGTGTTTACGTCTTAAAACGTCTTTATATAAAAATGTTATAAAAAACCAACATTATTGTAAAACAAATTTAACATGATAAATGTTTGTACAACATTCTTGCTCAACAAAACCATTAACCACAATAGTTAAAATTTTAAAACCTGGAAAATGCAGAGCTTAAACACCCTCAACATTTTTATTGAAATTGCGCCTATGTGTACACCGTATAATAAACGAAATACATAATTATTGTGTATAGGTAGGTCCCTTGAAATGTGCGCATACTAGTTGCCTCCGAAAAACAACGAATTGTCCCCTTGCTTAACTTTTAGGTCTTAATTCATAAGCTACTAGTTGTTGCCTCCCGTGCCAGGTACTAATATTTTTTTATCCGACAAAACGAAATACATTGCATATTATTTCTTTAAAGCTATGCAGATTACACTTTCAAACCTTGCGTTTTTACACTATTTTTTATAATATCCTTCTTAAGTTCCAATTGTTATTGATATATACAGCAGTTTTTTTTTCAACATAATACTACCAATGCTTAGCTTTTTTATTTGTTTGTACTTGGCAGTTAGCTTCACAATAGTGAATCTAACCATCGGGGACGGCCTTGGGTAGACTGGCGTTTGTCCGACGGTACATAACGTGTTTAAATGTCATACCCGGCATTAATTTTTGTGCAGTATAAATCAACCCGTATGGTTTTTTAAGTACGACACAAACTAATTTTCGCAAATTTCTTACCAAACTAATGCCAAATTAATATGTAAAATAGATCACTCCGGTGTATGTATTAGTGTTGTAATTTGGATTCGAATCTTCGAAGGATTCGTATATTCGAATAGTCGGATTCGAATACCTAATTTTTAAAGATTCGAATAGTTGAAAAAAAAATATTTGTAAATTAATTATTATTACTATTTGAATATTCGAAGGATTAGTTAGCTTAGCCGATGATAAAATAACTTTTCAGTTATTATTTAAGTATAATAATTTATTCAGTTTTTACATTATGTTAAGTATGTAAAATCGGTGTAAGTTTTAATTTATAAACCTTGAGCAGACAGGGGTTGGTGTGTGCTCTGGTGCTTGCTTTTGGGGATGCTCGAGGGTAAGGAATGAGAAAGGATTTGGCACGATACTGATTGACCGAAAATGTAGGATATTGCGTCATTTAACAGTATTTTCAAATGAAGTATTTAAAATTCATATTGTAAATGATAATCATGTGATTTTTAAATAATATTTCACCGAAAAAAACGGAGATCAATCATTGTTGATTTTATTTTTGATATTAGCCATAAAATTTTCGAAAAATTTAGAGTTCCCACTCATGCCAATATACCGAGTTTTAATTACAGTCATTAAAATATACATAACATAGTTTTTATTTGTAGAATTTGATATTGGACTCCTGGCTTTTAAAATACTTAACAAATCTTTTTATAGCTCTATGTAGAACTAGCGTCGTTCTCAACTTGCTATGAAAATTCAAAAGATAGGTGTAAGTATTTTTTGTTTAAACTACTTCTGTTATACGTGTATGTGATAGATATTTGAATTTGTGCAATTATAGTATGCATATTTCAAAACTTACCTTCGTTGTATGCGTCTATGATTATTTTTAAAAACAATATTAATTGTGTACAGGTATTATTGCTGCGTCTTGTTGCATCAAGTGTGCAAGTTCGATAATGATAACCATACTAAGGGTTTGTTTTACAATCGCTATTTTTTAAACCGTCACATTTTATAGCTTCATCGTGGTCATTTAAGTTTAAAAATAATGTTACTTATGTGCTTGAGTTGTTTCTTCGACATACCTACATGCAGTTGACAAAATAATATATTTATTTTAGGTGTGTGCAATTGGTAAGAGTTTTTATCAACTGTTTCAACTCACCAACATACAACGAATCAAAAATAAATAATATATCATACTAAGAGTACTTTTTCTACACTAAATAATGAGAAAAAAATCAAGTTGATATATTATAATCAATTGTATTTATAGATATTTGTGCAAGAATCCGCCCAAAATATATATTTGTTTTGTACTTTGTTGTTTTATAACCTTGTAATTCATGCAAACAATTATTATTTTAATTTTTATGTTCCTTAGGTACTATAAAATAGTATGAGATCTATTTTGGATCTTAAATGGGCTCAAATAAGTAGTAATATTGAATTTTTTTAAACTGTCAGCACCCAATAAAATGATTTTAGCTGCCCCAGAAAAATACCTACTTAACACATTTTAAATCTCAACCAACATTTTTTTTGTTTAAATAACACAAAATGTATATGATGAAATATGATGTTAAAATACCCTTTATAAATAAAATTAGAAGACCAAATTGGTCGAGCATTTATGGTATAGGTTGCAAAGGTAATAAAGAAGTTCTAAAGCAAAATTACAGCGAAAAAAAACATAATTATATTTTATTAGAAATCATATAATTATAATCATAATATTGTAGAAATAATAATACATTTTATTTTGAATTTATATAAAATAAAATGTACTATTATTTCGACAATTATTATGATTACATTATGTTAGTTTTACTCATACTTTTTAGAATAAGTTTATCTTTTTTTTTATATCTTAGAATTATCAAGTTTGAATAATGGTAACAAAATAATATAACCACAACAATGTCGACATCTATAAATTGTTATAAGTTAATAATTACATCTTAGTAAGGTTAATAATTTGTAATTCAGGTACTGAAAAAGTAAAAAATTCGTCGTACTTAGGACTAGTTATTCCATTTTCTTTAAGCTTTTGGAGAATACTATTGTAGGCAGCTTTACTGAAACCATAAAGTAATTAAAAAAAAGTTATATATCTTTATATTTTAAACATCCAATGCAACAGCATACTAGCTATTTCCTAAAAAATGCAAGTGGCCCTCAATTGTATTAAATTGTATTGAAATATGTGTAATATCATAAAAAAATTATCTGAGCTAGAGTAGAACAAAAAAGAACTCAATTTTCCTGTATGAGATAATTGGTTGATTAAAATTATTGGTGGTATGATGGGTTAACTGATTTTGAACTTGTAAAAAATAAAATTAATAAAGAACAAGTTAAACATATTTTTTCTACCGAAAGCGTTGATATGAATAGTAATACTCACTTTGGTTTTATAGTGAACAGCAAATCTATAAAGCAGAAAAGTTATTTTATTATACAGCATACATATTATGTGTTTTACCATTGAGTTGATATTACCATACAATATATACTCAATGGTTTTACTAGACAACAGTAAAAATGTCTGTGTTTTAATATTTTGTCATAGGTGTAGCAAAGGGTGGGCACCCCCCCCCTCCATATATTGGTTTAAGGTTAAATTTCATTATACAGCATTAGACTTATTAACTGAACCGAAAAAAAAAATTACATTATTTTTTAATAAATTGTTTTTAAATAAACTGCTCTACCTAGTGTTGATCTTATTGAATAATATTTTAACCTATATTAAAACATTTCATACATTACCTAAATTACCCTTACCCATCGGATTTACACCATCTGCAAAGAAAATATACCTAATTAAAATGTTATCTACCAACCTAGGTATATTATTTATACTTTTACCTTCTTTTACAAACATGATACCGCCCTTTTCTGGAATAAAAAAAAATAACTTCAATATTTTAATAACACTTTTGTGACTGTTTTAAATTGACATTAAATGTATTCTTAAGGGAAACAGAAAGCGTTATTAATTAAAGGCAAATGATAGCTATCCAATATTTTAATAACACTTTAACAGCATTATGCCGCATGTGCACAATTATTTTGTAAGAGGTAAAATAAAGACAATATATTTATTAACAGAAAGTTATAAAACGGACCTTAATTAATTTTAGGTTTTCGGATTAAAGAAACATAACGTCTTTTCATATAATTCTGCTTAAAAATAAATGTTTCTATTAGCTGAACCATTTTTTTTTTTTTTACACGAGGTAGGTATTGACATTTTAAAATTATTAATCTATTAAAATGACAATAAAAAAAAAACTATTACATTGTAATACAATTTTATAGATAGCCTGATGTAAATTAGGGTCTATAAAACTGATAGAAATCGTAGCATAAGTATATATACTCTATATATTAAGTACACTATGTATATTTTGTATGTATTATGAAAAATTCCGATTTAAAAATTATTCAAAATTTAAACCGCGGAACGAAAAACGGGGTTTTAGTATTGTTTTTCAGTGTCATTTAAATGGGTTATTACTCTAATGTTACCATAGAAATACTTAGGGATGGACATGGCAGGCGTTAGTTCCTCAATTTGGGCTCGGGTAATAAATTATTCTATCTATATTATACTAATATGACATTGACATAATATTATGAATATTATTAAGATAAACTTGATTATAATTACTGTATCCACGTTGATATACAATTATGTCATTTTTGTAGAATGAAGGCGTACCTAAAAAAAACAAAAAAATAAATAATTAATAAGTCATAGATTGAGTAAGTATACACACAATAGGTATATAATAATATATTTTAATCTATGGGTTCTGGTTAAACGATAAATACAAGATACATACCAGTTGCAAACGTACAGGCAACACAGACAGATACAACAATAATTAAGCTAAAACAGATATTTGCCATAACGATGCGAATAAGAGTAGGTAGGTATATTAGGTAGGTAGGTAGGTTGAATAGGTATCTATACTACTGCGGCGAAGGTTAAACGTCGAGAACAACTGGTAGGATTGTGATTGACTGTAACGAACGAAATTATCCAGTGAAATACCTGCGTCGGCCTTGTAAAAAAAAAAATTTTAATTTCACCTGATTATACAGAAAAAAAAAACAATAATGATTAAAAAATAATGGGTACGTTTTGAAAATATACCCACCAATACAAACGTAATATATTTGCAAACGATTTGCGTGGCCCTTGTACAACACAATTAATGGCTGTACGATAAATTAAATATTCATTGTTAAACGTATAACATTTAAAGCGAAAAAAAGAAAAAAATTCATTTTTACGGTAACGCTTGGTAAATAAATCATAAAAGCCGTGTGAAGTTTGCATGCGTTGAAATTATTTACAACAAAAAATTATTTTTGTAGTCGACCGCGTTTGATATTTTATACTTAATTAGTCGCCTAATCCTATTAAAACGGTTTTGAATAAAGTTGTGTGTTTTTGTACGAAGACTTGTATTGCTGAAATTGGTCGCATGGCACTTACTATTTGAAACCCTCGAGCGCGGCCATGAACCATTTTATTATACTTACGCTTTTATAAGTATAGTTTTTGGGCTTATGCTCCAAACCCACCGTACTGGTTTTTTTTTTTTAATTCCTTTAAAACCTTTTTTGAAATATTTTATAGTTCTACCGTCGTTATTATTGTGTTCAGTAATTGTACATTTATTTCTAATCACGGAAACGTACTCAAAACATATTCTAAGTTGTGCCATTTATTTGTCTTGTGCTATTATCTATTTAAATAAGAAAAACAATTTACTTTGATATTGTGACGTTTAGTGTACTTGTTTAAACAGACACCTATTGTGTACACAATTTCATGTAAAAAAAATATGCATCGAAAAACAAAAACAACATCATTTAATTTGATTTTAAAACTTTATTAATTGCTTCCCACAAGCTATTCTTAATTAGTTTACATATTTTCATCACTAATGTTAACACCGAAGACTTCATTTAAAAGCAATTTTAAATAAACATTAAATAAATAAATACATTAAAATAATTGTACGTTTTAAAAACATTTAATTAGGTTGAAAATTAACATTTGTCAATTTACCAAAGATTTAAATAATCATTTATTGTTCCATCGATTATTGCATTGTCTATAAAGCTTATGTAGCTTGTTACTGATGTCCCGAATTTATCGCAGATATCTTTCATTAATAATTTAAACTAGTTTTGATTTATCACATCCGAAACAAAAAAAACTTTCTTTAACTGAAAAACGAAAGATCAATTTATTTAAATTTTTATAATACAAACAGCAGTTAAACACCGCACAACTGACTAAAAAATTTTAAATGCGAGGAATTTTTCACAACAACAATACCATTTCTATTTTACGTTAACTCCATAATATAAATAGTAGTGATGAGAATCCGAAAATCCGGATTTTTCAAAAAAACGCTTTTTAAGTCATTTGAATATCATATAATTGTTAAATACTATTACAATATAAAGATGTGTATCTAAGTAAAATTTGTTGATAAAATTTAAAAAAAAAACTCTTAACTTTGTCTATAAAATGCTTTCGGATTTCGGATTCCGGATTTTCGGATTTCAACAAATCCGAAATTCAAAAGCAGTTTATCTCTTTGGTGTTTTGTTTTATTTTCACATATTTATCAAAAAAATGTTACTTAGATATAGAGCTTTATATTGTAAAATTATTTAACACTTATATGATTTTTAAGTAGCTTAAATAGCGTTTTTTTGTGAAAATCCGGATTTTCCGATTCCCATCACTAATAAATAGTTTCTTAAAAATTATAATGTTTAATGATAAATGAAGTAAAATTAATGTTTACTTGAAAATGACACGTTGTCACCAAATTGTTTATGTACCACACTCAGCACTTCAGCTCTGCTATTTGTAATATTGCTCACATAATTCACAAACTGTGCCAAAGTAATGCCATTTCGTTGAACTACATTAGTTTGGCGTTTATTGATATCTTTCAAAATCCTTCCAAAAGTGCGATCTATGGCCTGAAATTTAATTACACATAATATCATTACACGTCGTTACACATGAAAAACTGATGATACAATTTAAATTCGTTTAAACTAGAGATCAACATAAATCGAACAATCATTGACGTGATACAAGCCAGAAAACTGAATAATTCCAATAAATGTATAGTTAAATAAATTCACGAAAAAAAGTTATTGACTGGTCCATAGTTAACCAATCGCCCGGTACATACTATTTTTTATTTTTTGACAAACTTTAAAAATAATTAGTTACTTTTAAGGTACAATTATATTTAACAGATTTAACAATAGTGGAATACCGTAGGTACACGTTAAATGTTTAGTTTACTGTACGCAATGTAATACAAATGATTTGCAAAATATGTATAAGTAATAATTGTAGCTATAGCCCTCCCGGTCAAATAAGCCATACAAATATTATTACTATTAGTAATTGTTGGAAAAAAACTATATTTACGTCATCTATGATATCGCTGTAAACCGATGGAGAATAAATTGTCAGACGTAATAAAATAAAATATTTCATATTCATCATTGTATTAATATCATTGTTTTCGCTTTGAATAAGGCTACCGACTTTATCTGAAATCTACTACACAATGATTCTTATGCTCAATAACAGGCAGTTGTATAGTAAAGAGTTTTGGATCAAACAATTTTTTTTTTTTATATTAATATACGTCAAAGAAATTCACACTACAGTTCACTGCACGAACGCAAACAATTCTACCAAAGAGTAGACCATTTGTTTAACATGACATGACTGTGTGGTTGATTCCATAGAAAACTTTTAGATCAACAATTTTTTTATCATGTCCCTTTTGCACGTAACACGCAAGTGTATTATGAATAAAAAGTATTTTTTACCCGTACAATGACTTGTTATTCTGGCTTTTTTCATCGGCGCAGAGTGAATGGCAATATTGTATTTTGTACCTATCAATCTAACGTAGGCCCTTGCCATTTGGTTTTGCGATGAGCTGTTTTTCTTTCGGATGTTTGCCACCGAGCCACCCAAAATCGTAACGACAGAAAATATTATATAGAAAATTGTTTTGAAAAATAAAACAGAAAATAACAATCGACATTATGACATGCACGCAAGTGTTTGTGTACCTGTACTAGTGTGCTCTGAAATCACACCTCAACTACAACATTTACAGCTTTAAAAACATCAAATTTAACGGTCATATCAAACGGGGGGATTATTTAAAAACAATTTTATCCAGCACAATTTTGAATAATTATTAAAAAAAAGATTAAGATAAAAATATTATTTTAACGAATCATTTTATTAATAGCTATTAAATTCAAGCCTTTACTTTAAGTCACCTTAAGTCTTTTAACTATGCCCAACAAGAGAAATTTAACAAAAGATACTACCTCTTCTGGATGGAACGGTTTATGATGTATCTTAGGTTTTACTGTACTTCAGTGGTACTTTATTTAAGGGTATTTTCTTTAAGTTCGAAGGCACAGGGGTAAAGATTTTAAACTTCTGTATCAATAAAGTACCTATTTTTTTTTCTAATCTATAGTTTCTTTTCCTGTACTTGTCTATTCCTAGTTCTTACATAGTTTCCACAGTGTCACGACCCATTCGAACGTCTGTTTGTTCATTAATTAGGTACCTTATAGTGTGGAGAATTTCCTTTTTAATGCACACAGTTTCATAACTCCAATTTGAAAAACCTGGCTTAAATTTAAATTAAACGGTACACTCTCAATAGGAACATTACCCTCGTTGAACATTATATTTAAATAAATAAATACATTTAAATAACTGTATGTTTAAAACACATTTAATTTAGTTGAAAATTAACGTTTATAAATTTAACAAAAATTTTAATAAATTTCATTTCAATTTTTTTTTTAAACTATTGCTTGCTCTATAAGACATGTGTATGCTTGTACTGATGTTGGGAGTCTTCGGCAGATTTCTATTATAAGTTCATTAAAATCGTTTTGATTTATAATTTCTGAAACAAAAAAAATAAAACTTAATTAAGATCAATTTATATATAAACTGTTAGAATACAAACAGCAGTTATACACCGCACAATACTGACTAAAAAATGTTAAATGCGAGCAATTTTTGCAACAACACTACCATTTCTGTTTTACGTTAACTCCATATAAAAGGTTTCTTGAAATTTATTATTAAATGATAAATTAAGTAAAATTAATGTTTACTTGAATATGGCACATTGACACCAAAACGTTGCTGTGCCACAAGCAGCGCAGTATCTCTGGTGTTTGTGAGATAACCCACATAATCTAAAAACTGGCTCAGTGTAATCAAATATTGAACTGCATTAGTATGCTGAGCATTGATGTGTTGTAAAATCCTTAGGTAAACGCGATCTAGCGTCTGAAATTGAATTACACTGTCATCATACAAAACTGATAATGCAATTTAAATTCGTTTAAACTAGAGATCAACATAAACCGAACAATCATCAACGTGTGATACAAGCCAGAGATTTGCACGATTCCAATAAATGTGCATTTAAATCAAATTCATGAATAAAAATAAAGTTTTTTCATTATTCTTTGAATCAAGATTAACTTAACTTTTTACCCATGAACTTATTTCAATATTATCCACAATTAAATTAGTTATTTACTAAAAAAAAAAAAATGTATACGGCCAAAACACATTCATGATTGAGGTTTACAAACAAGAGTCGGGTGAAATTCCGGACAAATAAAAAAAATATATATCTCCAAAATGAAACAAATTCATTTTACAGAATCCGACCAATTGATTTAAATGAAATACACACCCTTACAATAAAATGAAATGTTAAATTATAATTGTCAATGATAAAAATTAGGATTTAATGTTGAGTAGAGAAAATTACTTTAACAAAAAAAAAATGTTGGCCAATGTAATAGAATTACACAATTAAGTATGCATTCTCAGAGAAAATATAAAAAAATTACTTGATTCATGAGTAACTGGGTGTCTTCATTTGGAGGACCCACAACAGGGTTTACAATAAAAACAGAAACGATTAAGAAAATAATGAATTTTAAGTACATTTTATCTACTACTTTAGCTACAACAAATTAATGTAGAACTCAGAAATCACACGAATAGTTTTTTCCCTCTACAAATCCTAGTTTTATAGAGAATGAAAAGCCCAAGTATAAATAACAAATAAGTTTTTCCTTATTTGGATTGCTTAAAATGTTTATGTTGTGGTTATTGTGTACGTTTTAATATAAATTATATGTTTTCGTATTCTAATACATTTTTTAAAAGCGCAAGACAAATAAATATTACAACTTGAGTATTTTGAATACGTTTCCGTGTTAGTCAACAAATTTCACATCAAACCATATTTTTTCTTATTTCCATAAATTGACTTAAAAGCTCAAGACAAATAAAAAAAACAATCCTCGTGTTTAGAATTCGTTTCCGTGTTCGAAAACAAACATCACATCAAACACATCTTTCCTTTCTTGTTTCAATAAGTTTTAAAAGCACAACAAAAATAAATATTACAGCTTAGGTATGTGTTTTGAGTATGTTTCCGTGTTAGACAACAAATAACCCATCAAACTATATGTTTTCTTATTTCACTAAATTATTTTAAAAGCCCAAGACAAATAAATAACACAACTTATTTGTTTTAAATACGTTTCCGTGTTAGAAAACAAACA